CAGAGGAAGGTTTAGATTAAAACCCTACATATAAATGGCAGTCAGCTTTGAGAACATTTTCTGGACTCCCTGACTGGGACAGTGCCTTGTCAGATAACTATCCTGTTCTCAGAAGGATTACATGCTAGGCAGCCAGTCTCCTTGGGTCAATTCCTTGCCCATGGCCAGAGTGCACTAATGTGTTATTGCAGCTCATCCAATAATTCTGTCCACAATATGCAAGCCCAGATTCACACTCTGTGTACTGTCTCTGAAATACTGACAGAGAATTAGTAGCATTGTGTAAGAAAAATAGTTAAATGGACCTATCATGAATCCCAGCAGAAGACTGATAAATGAAAAGGCACAGTTCTGTAACTGTTATATGCTGGATTCCGAGAATTACCACTATATTAATCAAACTAGAAGTCGATAAACTTTATTCATCTGCAGTTATCTCCAACAGGTGAGCACATGCAGTCAGGAGACCAAGGGAGTGAGAGGGACATACAGATTTACTGTTTATGCCTCCTTTAGTGGGAGCAGATCCTCTTCTCTGCCTATACTGTCTGTACATGTTCTAGACTTGCAGTGTTAAAGTAGTTGTTTATATATTTGAGTGAAAGAATTGACTAAATAAGAGTCCTTTTGTTCCTAACACTAACTTGAATCACAAAGGATGTGACCAGCTGCCATAATAGGTGTTTCCTGTATTTGTTTTTTTTTCAAGTGAGCTAGGGACATTTTACAGTAAAGCTTGTTTAAGTGCATTCTGCACAGATGGCAAGAGTGTCCTGTATCTGCTTAAAGGTTTTGTCACATTGTCCCAACTATGCTCTGTGTATTCTAGGACCCACTTCCTGCTCAGCAGGCTTCATGGTATGTAACGGTGAGTGGTAGAGCTTTACCTGCATCCAATATCCAAGTATTCTTTTCATATAATTCAGAACTCCATCTCCTGTAACATATTTTAGAAACTTCCTTCAGCTCATTATTGACTGTAAGGAGTATTGGAATGGTTTATTCATGATTACAGTGGATAGCTGAGTGCAGCTGTCATCCTACAAAAAGATCACCCTGGTAACAGCAATCAACAAGCGGAGTAAGATGATCCAAATATAACTGAAACCTTCTAAATGCTGTCTTTCATCTGAAATACAAAGTCACAACTTCATCACAAACTTCGCCTGATGGTGTGTGAAATGTATCATACACATTTTTATTCAGTGCTGAAAAGCCATGGATTTTCGGTTTTCTTTACAAAGTGGAATCTGAGAAAGGGCCTACATGATAAGGGAGCTGTGAGAATAAATAATTAAAATAAGTAATTAGTTCAGCATTGTTTTGGGGAAAAGTTATTGGGAAAAGAGAATCGCCATGCAAAAAACCAAACACTGGATCCATCTCACGGTCTTCAACTGACACTGAACAATGACTAGTGCAAAATTTGTATCGCAATTTATTATAGCAGTAAGGGAAACTTCTGGATAGGAAGCCAGTTTATCCTTGCAATTGCACACAGTGCCTGTGCTGCAATGACATGCAACTGATACCACAGTTCAGCTCTGAGACCAACACAGAAGTAGGTTTGCACTTGTCTCATACCTCGTAACCGTAGCCACATAGAGGACAGGGCAGAAAATGTATTCTGGGCAACTGCCAGCGCAAAAATGCAGCTGATATTCCATTACGTCATCTGGAAATCAACTCATAGGGGAAGGGACAGAGAGAAGGTTTGAAGTAAGACCACTACACACCTTACGCAAGAACCATGTATGCCTGCCTGTACATCATGCCTGCAGTATTTGAGTTCAGGTGATTGTATTACTGTTTATCATTCCTTCGAATAGAGTCACATACAGACAAGCAATACAGCATTAGAAAACAGAACAAAACATGGAGAACAGTGTTGGGAGGACTTGTCTTTTCAACACTATATGTAGAGTGGTGACACAACAGTCATGGAAAAGTCATGAAACAGTGGGTCACCTTTCAGTACATTTTCTCTCATTTCCTTAAAATCAAAACCAACAAAGATATGTCCACCCCCATGTGCCAACAATTTCTAGTTACAGTCTACTGCGCTCAGTGCATTGCAGGTTTTGCAGCACTGAATGGGCATGTAGCTTAATTATAAAACAACCCTAAATTCATTATTACCATATGTATATCCCTAAAACAGAGAGCTATTTAGATACTTTTCATAGCTCTTAAAACATAGATTTGGATCTATGTTTATTTCCATGGATAGACAATGATCTGTGTAATGCTTAATATACATGTAATACATAGTCTGAAACACTTTTCAAGTTTTTTTCAAGTGTTCACTGAAACGTAGTTTTCAAGTTTTACTGTAACTTGCTGTCAAAATATTTTCAGAAAAAATCTCTTCACAGGGCTTTGTGTCTCGAATCTCTGTAAATTCACATCCACATCTAGGAGGCTTTGTGACTTCTGTATGCAACCAGGAAAGCTCAGTCATGTCACCTTAGTATGAAACACAATTGATTTATTGCTCTTTGCTACTTTGTCTTAGTAGCTGCATATGAGCATCCTTTGTATTGCAGCAGTACACAGATTAATACACATAATTAATCTTTCACATAATGTTATGAAATCAAATTAATGAATAGTCGCATGTATACAGTAAAAGCACAAGTTTGCACAATTATTTTTATCAACTTCTTTAATAGTATAAAAAAGAGCTTTAAATTCAACATGAAGGTGATGTTCTGCTGTCTTTCTATTACTTTTGTAAATAGAACAGACCAGAGATTGAGGGCACTGACAGTAGCTTATTCTAATGATATCCAACAGAACTGGCTATAAATATATATATATATATATATGAAGAATGTTTCTCTGTGTATGGAGATATATCTGTCTCTATAGAAATTGCCTGAATAATTTAATACAATATGGCCTAATTTTAATACAATTGTAATAATTCTATAGACTTTGTGTATTCTTCTCCAGTTTTTATTCATTCAGTTTCTAATTTTTAGAGTACACTCTTGCTATATTAGTAGCGCCAAGAAACTAGAAAATTGAGTTACAACATTTAAGATTAAAATGGTGTGCTGCTTTATATACATATATATATATAAATATATACATATATATACACACATATATATTCTTAAAATAGCAACTGGACAAATTCTGCTTGCCTCCAGCTCTCCAGTTCTGTTAGTAGCACCACCATAGGTGTCACTGCATAAGGGAAGGAGGGCTGGAAGATGAGACTGGAAATTCTTTCTTCATGACTGAACTGAGGTTTAGGGGAACTCCTGATATACAGATGCTACTCTATCCCTCTGAATCATTGGCAGGCACACAAGGTCAGTGAAATACTGCTGTATTTATACTGAAAACCAATTCTTGGAGAGAATTGCTTGGAGACACTTCTTTCCCTGACTATGTATCTAATGAGTTGTGGCCAGTTTACACTGAATATTGGCTTTTACCCTAAAGACAATACAAAATGTGTCAAGGTAGCATGTATCAGATTGCTTATATCAAATTGTACAATGAAATACTTTCATTTCTTTTCAGTTTTTCACTTTGCCTCTACAGTAAAGAGAGTCACATCTTCCAGTACCTTCCTAAGTTGCCAGATAAGCATGCTACTGAATGTCATGTTTGACCACAGGCAGGTCTTCTAAAGGAGGATGTAGAAATCTTCAATGTTAAGTATTTTATAAAACAGAAAACACTTAAGCACATCTGGAACTTCTGGAGTTCATCTATAAGTTGCATAAGGCTTCTTAGCTTTTTCCTCCAATTGAAAGATGAATGACACACACAGAGATATTCCACCATCATGGATATAAGATTATACAAGATTATAACTCTATAATGTCAATTTATCACAGTGCTCCATGTACTGCTACCAAGTACAAATACAAATCATGAAAAACATCTGTAAGTCCCTATAAGCAATTTGTCAGAATACTTTAAAGTACATATATAATAAATGAAGAACACATGTTTCATAGGAACCAAATGAAACTAGAGCTGTACCGAATGCTTTGCCAGACTCGAACAGCTGTGGACATCACCTCTCTCTCCCTCTATCCAGCTTTAAAAGGCATTGTTTTCTTTTTAGCTTGACAGGTTATGTTTACAATACCGTCAGTCTTCCTGAAGGACAGATTGCCCAAAATATCTCTGTAGATGATTTCCATCTCTTTAAATGCTGTCTTTTGATTTTCAGTTTAGATATATTGGCACTTTCTGCTAAATTACAGACGGTCATCAATGAACCATCCTTGCCAGCTTCTAAAAAGACATCAAACACCTACCATCATTTACTTATGAAAAAGTATCAGGTTACATACTGTACAGCATTTTCTGTTTGGTAGCTACAGTTAAGGGATGGAAAGTTTTGCTCATTTACTATTCTGTTCAGAGTGTGTGCACACAAACATACCCACACATATACATGTTTCCAGGTTCTAAAGAGGTTTTTCTGACTTCCCTGAGCTTGATGCCTCAACAAGGCTATGGATTTCTTCTGTCTAAACAGAATATAAGATGGCAGCTCCAAAGTCTCTTTGCCATTATGTTTTGCAACTCAGATTGAAGTCAAGGCTTTAGCATTATTAAGAATGATACATTTCTTTACACAGAGAAAAACACAGCATTCAGTCCTTCCCCCCAACAATATCAGCTGAATATTGTCACTTCTGTGTGAAACCAGGCCACATCGTTTAATTATATCTCTAGTCTTCCTACTCTACCAGTTTTTGCTTTGCTTCTCAGAGAAGAGCTTCCTGCTTCTTATTCCTGTTTTAGATCTATTTCTGACAATGATAATCAGTGGGAGTGCAAGATGTTTTCTTTTATCAAATCTCCAAATACTAGTTCCCATACTTTTCAGTGTCTACAGTGATTTCCCAAACCTGAGGAAGGAGCAACAACTTCGTTACTTTACAACTCTGGGTTACAAAAAAATATATTGTTATTAAATTTTGAGTAACTGTTCAAAATATGAAATGTTGTTATATGCAAGAAATCTAACATGCATTTTGATATATAATAAATTTATAGTTTTACTTTATCTGCTTGAAAATGTAGCAGGAATGTAAAACACTTTCCTCAGCACTGAACATATGCAATCACCATTGTATATTTAAAAAAACAACCCACTGATACTAAGATAGCTTAAATAGCCCCAAGTGTCCCTGAAGAGCTACTGTGTGCTGTGAAAAAGCTGAATAATCCTCCCCATGTCAGAAGGTGACTCTTCAGCTGTTCAGGATCATGAGCTGATATGCTACCACTCGTAAAAAAAGATTCAAAACACAAGAACATACAGTTAGGTAAAGATCATTGTGATGGTATTGGAATTAATCTGCAAGAACTGACAACACTGAAACTAATCTAGTAAGAATGATTCAAGGAACTGTAGCTTTTACTTAAAACCAAAACACAAAGAACACAGCAAATTCACACCAAAATAAGTTCAATGGGAGTATGAAATTTTTACATCATATTTGGCTTGTTCTTTTACAAAGAGAATTGGAAAAATGAATATATTCAAACACACTATTTAAATATGTACTGAATGCAGTATTCATATAACACCAGAAGTGCGGTCTGTGCAAAAGTACTCCAAATTATTATCGCTCAGTGATCTGAATAAAAGACTTTAACATATTTATGAAGGCACATTGATAGAAGAAAAGGTATTTCAATCATTTGGTTTTGTTTTAATCATCAAAATAGGGGAATTCACTTTGGCCCCTGTGCTTAGAAAAATATGACTTTGACTTTCAAAATCTCATTATCTTTAGTCTTAGTATTTACATGGTAGTTTCTTCCCATTCAAGCTCCACATCACCTACAAAAGAAACAGATACATTATGTTAACCTTCCTTGTAAACAAATAGTAACTACTGACAGATAACTATTTTGACTGAACTTAAAAGATCCTGCAGGGAAAAAAGCGGAAAGCTTGAGCAATGACTATTACTATGAGGGACACTAAAGAGCAGCAAAACGCTAAAGATTTACACTTCTGAAGCCCAAAAATCCATGTCAAAGTATTTTTTTCTGCTTCTTAGCCTGGACAAGTCAATGCACCTGCTATGAAACAATAATTTTGAGACAGTCTGTATCTCCTTACCTTCCATGGCATCCAGTGAGTCCATCTTTTGCAGTGCTGAATAATTTACAAAACATATGGGCTGGCTATTTCCCTTGCTTGTCAACAGATCCAATACACATTGATGCAAAAATATATATTGTGCCTGTATGATGTGAATTTAAAGATGTTTGATTAGGATAAAGATGTACTTCCAATAAAAAAAAAAATTTAACATCTCAATGTTTTCAAAGTAACTGCAGTTTAAATAGCAATCTCAATATATCAATGACCATATCATATATGCCTGATCTGATTTCATTCATTATGAGGCATAATACATTAAAATTTGTCAAAACATGTTAATCCTTATGTCCAGTAATATATATGAAATTAGACTAATCATAACTGAGACTTATTAGTTGTTCTGCAATTCTACAATAAGCTGTTCCACAATTTTCTGTAAACGTTCTATGAAAAGATGTTCGATTACTTTTTTCCACTAGATTCAGACTGGAGAAACTGAACCACATGAATGTAATATTCAGATAAGAAAATATTTCTCTTTCTAGCATAGGGAAAACCAGCAGGGTGCACTCAAATGCCAAAGTTAAGTAAGTCTAAATCTAAATCTAAATGTTCTAGGACCATGCACTATTGCTAAGAGAAAAAAAAATCACATTATTTTTAATGATACTTCTTGAATTGTAACATCATGTTTAACAGACTATAATGCAAAGAATGAGCAACTAGAGCACTTCCAAGAACATGAAGTAACTCTGGGTAATGACTACTGAAAAGAGAAAAACAAAGTAAGTCCATGTAAGAATGAAATAATGAATGAAATAAAAGAATGAAAACATAGAAAGAAAATAAATGGATTAAGTGTATATTCACATAGGAGAAGTAGTGTGCATGCAGATGCAGAAAATGAGCTAGATCACGGTATCGCCGATTCATTCAGACTGAGAGACCTCTTGAAATCACCTAATACAGCCCCCCCACTGCTCAAGCTGGGCCAGCTAAAGCATGTTGCCCAGGACGTTGTCCAGATGGTTTCTGACTATCTCCACAGATGGAGGTGACCAAAATAACTTTAACTTCCTTGACTTCTGCATGGGTAAACACATTACTGTAATTTTTCTGCTCAATAATTGCTATTTTGCTTCAGAACTGCCATCAGTTTTCAATTCAAGTGTCTCAGATTTACAAGAGAAATTTCCTTACATGGATACATTTTAGGGTCACGGCTCCAGAGCCATAGGTAATTAAAACAGACTTTCACAGGCCCCTGAAGGACTCAGTACCATTATGCTCTTCAATAGCTTGCTTACTGAAGCAATAGCATGGCATTACTTCGAACTAGCCTTTGCACTTGACTTGGCAAGGTGATAAACTTTAACAGATCCACTGAACAAATGTGGATTTCTAGAATGAAGGTCTTGGGCTTCAGCAGAGCTTAGATTGGTTATTCCAATGCAGAAGGCAGACTCTGAAAGCTCCATAACCTCCTGCATTCATACAGTTACTTGTGAGTATGCAGCAATGAAAATCTTTCTGGGTTTCCCACGGTAGAATGAAGCAGGATACCAGTGGAATGACAGGTTATCTTCCCACTTAGAATTAATGACATTCTTAATTGTTTGAAAGTCTTTTTATGATTGGAAGTGGGAGAAAAAAAAAAAAAAAGTTCACTAAAGATTAGGTTATGTACTTTACATGTAGTCCAAAGGCAGGCCTTGGTAATGTACAGGCCACCAGGCAGAGTACCAGGATACTGAAATAGATTTCTCTACAGAATCTACATCAGGGAATTAAACAGTGTCTGGGTACATCTCCAGGTGGTGGAACTGGATCATCCAAACTACTTCAAATTGTTTGGATAGTCCCTTGCATAGTTTTGATCCACATGAATCATCACTACCTCAAATAATTTCCAGGTAATTTTCAGGAGTCACTGCAGACTATGGACCATTCCCTATAGAGAGCCTGTGGGTGTTACATTACACAGATGTGGGCCATTCTGTGCCCATTGGCTACAGTAATAGGGAGTGACTCTGTTGGCAAAAGGAAAACTATTTTGAAGCTATAATCAAGCAAAAACCAGGTCTGAGAGCAATCAGGTTTTATTTATTTTACTCATAGATCTTACAGACAGTTTTACTGATGGAACTCTAAACTGAGTTCTGGGAAGGAATTCCTCCTTTCTTTATGTTTTTTTGTGCTGATTGCATAAAATCTGAATCATAGTCTACTAAACAGTGTTTTATAACAGAACTGTCAGAACAGCTTGACTACTGAATCCACCATAAAACTTTACAAGATTTGGTTCCCTTTGGGGAAGTTTTGTTGCTGATCTGCCTTTTGTAGTCCTGTAAACATGAGCTAGAAATGACCTGGACAGAGAACAACCTGTCTCAGGATTTTGCAGGCAGCATATAGATCAATACTTGCTCTGTTTGGAAATCAGAACTGAGACCATAATCTTCTATTGCATTTTGGAACATCTTTTCCTAGCCTCTGTTAAAATATGCAAATGAAGAGGGACACAAAAATGATGCACATTTTAAAAATGTACACTGATCTTATCAAATGTCTCCCTCTTTTAAGATTTTATTTTGAGATTGCTCCCATTAAATTGTCTTTCAGCCTTTAACTTGTTTTCAGATTATTCTATTTCTAGTCAAATGTGTAAAAAAAAAAACAACAAAGAAGGAGTCCCAAAATTCATCATCACAGGATACTGCTGGCAATTGTTTATCTGCATCAAGACTTTAAAAGGAAAAATTAAAGCAATTGGTAATCAGACAGCACCTCACAGGAAACAGCATGATTATCACCAGAAGGTCTCACAAAATCTTCTGAAGTGCAGTTGGTGTGAAGAGAGGTTAACCGTTCTTTGTATATTCTGACACACTTTTTGTATATTCTGACATGATATAGAACAGCAGAATTGCATCCCTAATGGAACAAGTCTCCTTACATCAAAATAAGTTTAAATCTGTCAGTCATGTGGAAGTTCATCTTGAAAATGCTCACCCATACTGAGAAGTTGGTAACTCATGATGTACTTACTCAAAGGCTTCAGGCAGCAGCCTGGGGTTAGATGTGGCCTGCAGAAGGCTTATGCCAGAAGCCTTATGCAAACACATCTGGATTTCCATTCCACTGGGCATTTAGGATTAGCTTTAAATTCTGCTTTACATACACCTAGATGTCCAGATACAGCAGAGGTCGTCCTTACCAGGAGGTCATCACTAACTTATATCCATACTCAGTAAGTCTGCCAGAAATGCACTTTTTTAAACCCCAAAACCAACATTGCCTTGATTTTGCAAACTCTGAAGTCTGTGCTTAATTCTATCCATATGTGTAATTTTATTTGAAGAAATGTAAAAAGAATTAAGGAAACGTTAATGAGCTCAAAGGTAAATTAATATTTAAAAGTTTGGAGGACCATGCTACATGTACATACACAAAAAAAGACAGATAAGTAGTAAATACAGTCAAATTAAGTAGTACATGAGCAAATCCATTTTTTACTTAATGACTCTTCTTCACCCAAAACTTCAAAAGGAACTTGCTCAAACTCTGAGAAATTAGGATTTAGACTCTAAAAACTAAATATCTCAGCACTCTTTTCAGCACTTGTCAAGACTTTTTTGGTCAAATATACTTAAATAGGTACAAACCATACATTTGCACCATGCTTGAAATCCAAATTTTCTACCAAATCAGGGTTTGGTAGAAAATATATTAGACAGCTGATTGTTTTGAGCTTTCTAGTCTTGTTTTGTAGGAGATCAGATGACTAACTTTTTAAAAAGAGGAAAATAAAATATATAAATATATAAATATATAAATCTTACCAGATTCTGTACCATACACATTCTTTCACTTCTTAACTCAGCTACAAGTCCATAGATATCCACAAAATCATGGTCATTTACATGTTGGGTTAAATGGTCAAGTGCGATATAAACACCTGTTCTTCCAACACCAGCACTGAAAACATAATATACAAGATAAAATAAAGTTATCATGTTAATTTTTTAGGAGAAAGCATTGTCTTAGAATATTCTGGTTAAATTAATTGTCAAAAGAAAACTTTGTGGAAACAAATCTTTTTCAGCAGAAAATAATGAATGAGTTTTCTGGATACAAGAACACATAATTCTGCTTTATAACCATCAGGAATTTGAGCACAGGTGGAGTATCTGGCCCATGCTGGCCCCTTTACATATCTATGTTGTGAAAAGGGGGATAGGGTTTGTAGAGGGGCCCCAGAGAATGTAGTGTCCTCAACACATGAAGACTATGTAGTTCTCTCCTGTAATAGCCTCTCTGGCCCCTGCAGTAGAGGGAAATGTCAAACTGTCAGTGACAACGATACCAAATAAAATGATGCTTTATCACCCATTGTGGGTGGCACCTGTAGGACACTGAGGATAAATAAAAAGAACTCCCATGAATGATAATCTGGATGGCTAGGGAAGATACTTTTGTCACCAAAGCCAGGTTTTCCTTCCACATATTTTCAGACTCACAATGAGTGAGAATGAAACAAAGAATCATTCGCAGACCTTTGAGTTCAGATCACTGTTTTGGAGTGTGCCCACTCATCCAGAGGGAACACTGACCTGTGTATAAAATGCAGGCACACATGACTTTCCTGAAGACTTAACCTTCCCCACACACTTACTCTTTGAAATAGCAGTTTACGGGTGTCGAGTATGAAATCAATGGGAACTATGACAGCTGAACACCTCTAACCACCAGACCATTTATTTAAGAAACTAAATATAGATTTTAGCTGTTTACAGGCATCCCAGACTGAAATCTGGCATATGAAAACCCTTATTCCTATTAGTCATACTCTGTGGCTCCCAAATAGTTTCTTCTTTTTGATATGACACATACATTTTAAATACAACTTTTAATCCTTATGTCTTAAAAAGAGCTATAACAGGAGTAATTAAAACCAACATGTCATTTTCTATTCATCTTCTTATGATAAAGAGGAAAATTGAGATAAATCCAGCAGTACCTTATGGTTATTGTTGAAGTAACTCTTTCACTGACATCATCTCAATGGGATTTCCATGAATGGAAGAACAGAAACACTTTGGCGGTCCTAGGAAGGACTAAGGAGCACTTCTAGAGAAACCTTCACTGCTGTCTACACTAGAACCACACCTGTGCATTCAGTTTTCATTGCTTTTCTGGCAACTCCCCTGAGCATTAATATGCACTTGAAATTTTAAGATACTAAAGGATGATTTGGTGAATATGCTTACCTGCAGTGAACCACCATTGGTGTATTATCATGTGCTCGACTTGCACGGATAAGTTTTACAAAATGAATAATTGGTGCAGTAGTTTCAGGAACTCCATGTTCTGGCCAAGAAGTAAAGTTACACTGCCGCACCATCATGCAGTCTCCATGCTGAAAAATATAAAATAAGGCAGTTTTTACAGAAGAAATGTGATGGTAAGCTAGAGGTAGCCTTCTCAGCAATTTCACATTAAAAAAAAAAATTATAAGATGTACTTGTATCAAGGGATAATTTGTTGTGCACAGATCTTATGGCAGTTTTTTTGAGAGATGGCATCAAGTCTATCTTTCAGAAAGCATTAATGACTTCAGCAGTTCCTCTCCACTTGACTTCAGTCACTACATCAATGTCATTAGCAGATTACAGGTTGAAGCTTCTATAGCTTGTTTAGAAGTTTAGTGAACTAAGATGACAATTTTATTTAGGAAAAAGCAACCATTCAAAGGCTGATCTAAGGTAGTGAAGGTAAACACACGTATGTTGGTAAACATGGATATATTTTCCAGGTGTTTGATGCCCTCTCAATCAGAGCAGCAGCAATAGTAACTCAAAGAAAAGAGCAGGTTATGATCTTATATCTAAATTAACTAGGAAGGACATAAGAATAAAAGCACAGGATCATGCCAAAGGCCTGTCTAGACCAATATACTGTTTCCAACAGGAGTCAAGGAAAAATCTTAGGGAAAATGATAAAATATGACAACAATGTACCTATAGTTCCACAAATTATCCTTTCCATTAATAGTGTGTGACTTGTGAACTGTCTTAGTCAGAGATGGTATCTCAAAATTTAGTAGTACTTGTTGGAATTTTCTTCCACTAATTTATCCAGATTTTATGAAGCCCTGTAAGTTTTAAGCATTCACAATATCATGCAGCAAGGAGTACCACAGTTTAATCTGCTGTTGTGCAATCAACCAGTTCCTTCTTTTAAAAATTAAATTTTGAACCAACCATTTACGCTTTTCATTTTGCAAGAAACACTGAATAACTGTGAACAATTATGTGTAGCAGCTACTTTGGGTCTACATTTTTAAAATTGATCAACATAAAACCAAAAGATAAGTGACTTTGGATGCAATGTGGCAACAATTTTAAATCATTTGCCTCACATATGCTTTTCACTTTCAATGGAAGATCATCAAGAATCCATCCATTTGTGAATGGAAGATAAAGCCAGCCATATGGCACATTTAATCACATGCTTATAAGGGACATAGCTTCTTGTGCAGGGTAGTTCAGCTATTGCAAATAGATCATTTAGCCAATTCTGGTAATGTTTTCTTTTCAACCTCACCCTGGTTTATACAGATGATGTTGCATTTTGGTGGCATGTATTTTTACTCTAAATTGTTCCCCTTTCCAGTCTTGTTTACCCTATGTCTTATTTTACATGAAAAAAAGTTTATCTTCTCTCACTCATTTTAAAATGTTCGATTGTCGTGTACTATGTGCACAACATATCCTTATGGGGTGACCACTGAGACAATCCCCTAGCTGCTGTGTTCCTTTTGTCACATGCACGTGCCACAGGATGGTAACGCATCTATTTGGATAGCTGAGTTCAGGTTCTAGGATGTGGCAGCACTACATACAACACGGGCCAATGTTGAGAGTGCAAAAGAAGGCTGACTTCATCTTGGGTCATTATGCTCAGACTGCTTTCTGAGCCTACCTGCTGGTCTGACTTAATGCTAGGTGCTAATTTTTCCAAAGAGTGGAAACTATAGTTGTGGACCATGACAAAGAGGAACATCTATGCTGTACCCCTCAACCCCCTTCCCAGCACACAGAGTGGGAGTAATACTGATGATTCTCATTTATATTGGGTGAATCTCCTGGGGGTGGAGGCCAATACAGCTGGTGGTACAATGTAAAACAGCTGCGCTGCGCCAGAGAATATTGCCCTTTAATCTGAGAGTGATACATTCAAAGGGATTTGTCTGATACCAGAATGGTTAGGATTACTCCTTTCTGGAAGACAACTGAGGTGTCCAAATAGAAACTTCACCTCCCACCAGACCAGAGGTTCAGTAACCTTGATAGGCCCTTCATAGCATGTTGGACAAATATCTGAGCATTTTGTGATAGAAAGTGGAGAAAAATCTCAGGGAAAAAAAACCCAACAAAACAGAACAGGAATGAAAACAAAATGCAGATAAACCAGGCAGTATTGTGCATACACATTAAAATATTAAAAGAATACTGAAGGGTAGTTGGGTGGGATGGGGCACATCTCATGTTCTTTGAGGTGTTGGATGGGTTTTATTCAATCAGCTTCCAGTTCTAGCTTACCCTTTCGATTTTTAGATCTCTAATGGTCCAGTCTATTTGAATGTCTTCCATCAATTTAGTAATCACTATGTCCCCAAACACAGTCACTGGTTTATTATCTTCTGGCCAGTACTGATGACATCTTATCTGCAGGGAGATGATTATTAATTAACAACTATCATATTATAATCTTGACAGAAACTACATACAGAAATTCCAAGTATATCAAATGCTGTTAATTGGTACACTGGTAACTTACCCGTCCTTTTTCAAAACATTGTGTAAGCATCACAAGTGTTTTTGATCTCGTCTCCCACACCATTCTCCAGAAATCACCCACTGTTCCTGGTAATGGTCCCTGAGTTGCGATAAACTCATTTGGACATAAATAACCCTAAGAAAAACAAAATATTTAATATGTAATGGTTGGAAAGGAAAAAAAAGTTGGCATGTGACTCAGAGTTGTGCCTGTAGCTACCATGCCTAAGGCTAAAACCTTGCCAGAAATACTAAACAAATTGGCATAGGCCTGACTAATCATTGCATGGCAGATGGCCTTGGAAACCTAAGGAAGTAATAGCATTTTTTCCACCACGTAGATCACTTATGAACCAATGCTCTAATAAAGTTTGGGAGCCAGGGAAACAACTAACGAGTGGTCTGAGAGCTACCACAAGATATACACCACATTGATGGCCTTGTCCTTCCTGTGATCATCAGGGAACTGCTGTAATTTAGGGATGGAGCTTACTCAAACAAATGATTTCTGATTAAAGGTCTTTGAGAAACCTACCGTAGGGGCTGACTTTTATTTTAGTGTGGCTTCTGCTGTTAATTTATAAATCAATGTAAAACCTAGGGAGAAGGAAGTTTGTTGAAAAAAAATCTGTGTAAATGCTGTCATTGCATGGGTTCTCATGGATTTTTTTTCCTCAGGAACTCTTATGTACTACAGAAAGTCTAAAATAACAACAATAGCAATAATAGCAATAAATTTATGCTGTAGAGCTAGCAGTCTATAATATCACAGAATTCTGCTTATTGCTCAAAACAACTGACACAGTGGTTTATAGCACCACCCAAACTCCGTGTTGGAATTATAGCCCTATAATTCACAGCTGCCTGTTACTTACTCCATCTATAATATACAGAACAGGTGGCAGTGAGAAACTATGTTAATCCTCCCTAGTTTAAGAGTGAGGTGAGAAACTATAACTCAAGGGTGCAGAGCTCACAGTTCAGTTAATGGCTTTTTCTTGTTTAACCGATGAAAATAAAAGTAGCAGCCAAGTTCCCATTTGATAAAATTATATACAAGACCTCTCCTTCCCTCTCATTATATGTATGCATATGTATATACACCTAGATAAATAGGTATGTAAACACACACACATATGGTATATTTACATCTATATGCATTTATATATTTAGAAATACACAAATATGGAAAGTGAGAGCGTATAAAGGGCAAAGCTTTAGCCCTGAGAAATGGTAACATTACAATTGTCTATTCACTGATGAATGGTGACCTAAAGTGGGATGCCTGCATGCAGTAAAGACATGCAAAATCTCTGCAGCTGGCTTTTGCTGCAGCTTTTGGAAGTTGCTGTTAGTGTTCCCTGCCTAAGCCTTAGCATGTCAGTTAGTGACAGGAAGGGTGAAGACTTGGCCATGCTCCAAGCTGTCTGGTCTCCTTCTCATTGGTTCAGTGTATAGTCCCAGGGCCAAGTAACAACGTGGCATGGCTCTCCCTATCTGCTGTCAGAACAAGGAGATTCCATATAAGGGGAATGAATAGCTTTTACTAATGAGAGAGGAAAATGTGCTCAGCTCTATTGCTTATTCTCTGTGAATGTCTCTTAGTTACCTGGAAATAACTATTTCTACTTGCCTTTTGTGCCACCTGTTTAGACCACAGTTTGCATGTCTTGCTAAGTGTTTGAATAGTGCTTAATGCAAATCAAGTTTTGACATCAGGTGAGACCACCAGCCACTGCTACAACAAATTAAATGCATAAGTCACACTTTGAGCTTCAACCGGACAAAAATGAGATAAAAGATAGATGAAGAATTTACTGAGAATGCAGTTAGAAAACGGGTCTAGGACGAAAGCTGAAGATGAGAAATACAAGATTAGTTTCTTCTTCAAGAAGCCTATTAGCATTTTCCTCCATCATAACTTTCACAGAATAGTAGGGAGCATACCAATCCTGCTCACCAAAATGATTAGCCATTTCTATGAAACTTCTCAGTTCAGTTATCTTGACGTTGTCCTGTTCATATACAATAGCTCCACTCCTGAATGAACGGACCAAATAACGCCTGTCTAAACAATTGACCTCAGTGGGAGTTTCACTATTGTCTTTAATGATAATGGTATGAGACAAATTTATAGAAAATAATTTGCTGGAGACAGTTTTGATTATTCCTGAAAATAATTGCTTGGGAATGAAAATGGGATCATGTATATTTTTAACTAGTCATGTTCAATGCCACAGGAGTCACTTGAACAATGCCATGGCAGCAGTAGCTGTAGTGAATGAAAGAAAAATTAGAATCCTGGTCATCTTGCAAGTTATTTTTTGACTCTCTCTTCTACCAGAAAACAAACATAGTAAAAATGTGAGAGACGTTCTACTTACAGACACATAGCTGGCATTAATGTAGTCAGATCCAGGAATACCAGCATCAGGCATCAGCTTTACTCTGTTGTTGTTATCTATCATGGAAATAAAGTCTAGTGAACTAAAAGATTTGCTCAAAAACCATAGATGCATGTAACAAGTGCTCTGGAGTGCTAAGAGATCAAAATTACTGTTATTGTTGCTAATCTAGCAATATTTGACATTGTAGAACACTAATTACAAAGGGAATTTAACCAATTTCCATTACTGTATGGTCATTCTTTCATGTTCCAGACATATTTTAATACAATACTTCTTAATTAAAAGGAAGAATGTGCCAAAACCTCCAATTTGATGTATGTATGGGAGGCTCCTGTGCCTAAAGGTAGCCTGTGTACTTTAAGCTATGCTGTTCTAGCACAGACAACCTCCATGTGAATCACTCAGCCGGGTCAGGGCTCTGACAGTCTTTCTTTCCTATATACTTGCTGCCCATGTTACAGATTTGAGCCAGATCCTGGCACTTTTACATACTTTTTTTTACATAAGGTAAGCTCATTATTAAAAAAAAAGAAAAAAAAAAAAGTGTTTCCAATTTGGGCCCACAGTATGCATGCAGAAATGACAAAATCCAGGAAAGATGTCATATGTAAGTAAATGCTGAAACCAAACATTCCATATTTTGATGTTTGGTCCTCAACTTAGCAAAAAAAACCCCAAACAAACCAACAAATATTTATTAAACTTATCTGTTTATATTTAATTGTGTGTTATGAATATCAGTTTTTAGTGACTGTAACTTAAAGTATGTCTTGAATAAGGCAGTAGATAGCAGGAACAGCTGCTCTAAAATGTTAATAGCAGAGAATATAGCATTATTAACCAAGGAATGCCATGCTCACCATCTCACATCACAGCTAATGCCTAAAATAATAATGACATTTCTTGTCTTATTAACTGAAAAATGAAGCAGTGTTGAGTATAGAGAGACAGACTCCTGTCTCCTATGATAAAATCTAGCCTTGGCTTATAAATTATCATACAGTCACTCTGATCTTCTGTGGAACCTTTGCAGCACACGAACACATATCCATAAGAAAGCATACCCAGGCTCCTGAAGTAGCTAAATGCACAAACATGTGGATTTTATATATTTAAAAAAATTCTCACTAAAGGGAAAAAAAAACCGAGGAAGAATGTTAAAGAGTTTGCTACATGGCTTGAATTACAAAGCTAAGAAACCATTGAGGCTACAGTTTCTTGCACCTGCATATTAAAGCTTGTGAGAGCAAGTTGAAAGCTACTTGCAAATAAAACTGTCTTTAAAAAAAACACAATGAAAAGACAGATTACTTGACAGAAAATTATTTCATAATGTGATCATGATTGTACTGTCATTTCAAAGGCAGATCAAACAAAAATACAGTTGTATTCCAGATATATACTGCCCTATTGAAGGCAGAGAGCAAAACAGGAGTTGATCAGTAAAGATACATACATGGCTTTATGTTTGGGAAACGATTCTTAGACCTGTTCCAAGGCAGATCAGCATCAGTTGAAGCAAGGTCCTCAAGAAACTTGGGAAGTTCCTGTAGAGGTATAAATGTTTGTTGGCAAACCTTTGCATTTCACCTTCACTGAATATAAAAAAAAAATGACACAAACACGCAGTAATAGGAGGAATTCTTTAGTTCTGCAACAGAGTGCATTTCAAAGAACAGCTGGAAGCATTACAGAGCATTCCACCTCACTGTCAACCCCAGTTAAACCAGCAACATTAGATGCAGCACTGCAGACAATGCTGTCAAGTTGAACAATTAAAGCTTACATAAACTTTCACCTTTACAAGTCTGGATAAAGTCAGCCTATCACCTTCTGCAGTTCTTTTCTGTCTTTTCATGTAGTCACATGCTTGGTTACCATGCCCTACTGACTCAGCCTTACTCTTGAATAATGCCTTTTCCTGACACCTGTAGCTTGGCAGAGTTCTTGCCACAGCATGAGAACTGATGAGAATTTAATAAGTTGAGACAACTGGCAATTAGCTATTGTTCACGGGACTGTTTGTGAAAGGGGTGGGAAGAGTTATTTTGGGTTGTACAGCAGTTTCATAACTGGTCATTAGTTCTATTACTGAAGGGCAGCGATGGATAAATCATTTATATTGAGGAACTTTTTGATGGGGGTGTTTGTGTATATAAATAGGTATAATTTCCAAAGCTGAGTAAAAGAGTGGAGACAACTTCATAACTTGTTAATGGAGAACACATACTAATGTGATGATCTCATAGTGGTGATAAGAGAATAGAAAACTCAGAAAAGCCAGAATTTAGCCAGAATTTCCAAGTTAATAACTACATTAAGTGTAATAGATTTTCCCTTTGTTTGACGAATGTTACACGATGGAATTCTATTTCAACATCTAGATAAGATACAAATGAAGATATCCACCTCTTGCTTTGAATGAGTAAAATACAAAATTTTTCCACTTGTGCTGAGTAATCCCTTCAAATTTGTCTTTTAATATTAACGGTTACTCTCTACACAGGCTACTTTCAAAAGTGGGGCAGATAGCCCTACTATCTGATTCAATATTAATTATTTTCAAGTGCTTTTTTGCCCAGGTATTTGAGACAGTTTGTATTCTATAAATAAAATTTAATGGGCAACAAGCAAACAAATAAATAAATAAATAAATGCAAGAGGTAATGAAAAATGGAAAAAACAGAGTGTTTTTTATGCCAGTGTTTTTCTTTCAAATTCAAATATTTTTAATTCAAATATTTTGCCAGCCTTATTGATGGTTCAGATATTAAGAATAATTTAATATGAGCATTAGAAAAATGGGATAATTTAAAAATTGATGTAATAATTCAAGTCAATAATTCATCTAATCTGATATCCTATTTTGTTCAATGGTTAACATCTGACATATAAGTGAGAGCTCAAAACCCTTGAACTGTGTTATATGCAATATTATCCCATGAGAAATTGCTTTCACCATCTGACAAAAATCCTATGGCCTGAAGCGTGAGGACTGCTTCACTTCTATAATTACATCCTTGATAATATATAACTGCCGGTGCTTCTGAACAGAAGGGGAAAGATGGTTTCACGATAAAAGCAAAGGACTTTCAGACAAGGGACCTGACTTCTCTTCCTAGCTCTGGCACACATTTCTTTGGGGAAAAAATTAGGGGAAGAATTGCAGAGAACAACTAGATGCTCATGTCCCTTTGAAAATTAACAAGGAACTAGATACCATCCATGGCCTTCAAAATCTCTCTAAATATCTATGTTTCCTAGGGATAAAAAGTCTATGATGATACCCTTTCTAAAAAGAAAGTTTCTGACTTAAAATCACCTTATAAAGAATGGCTGACTTTACATTTATATCCATATGTCAAAGAATTAAAAACATGATTAACAGACATGAAGTAAATAAAAAACTAAATGCAGGACTGTAGAAAAATATCTTTAAAGACACTTATTTTGAAAATCTTGTCTTTGAATCAACCTCTGTCATATTCAGGGCACATTTCAGAAGAAAATATGCTCATTTGCCTCTGCCTTTTGTCTCAATAATCCCTTAGAAAAGTAAAGCCCCAATCCTATAACTGAGCCTAGAGAAAGATTCCTCTTCTCAGGCATAGTAGAGTGACTTCTGTGCACTCCTGTCAGGATTTGGTAAGAACAGTAAAACAGTAAGGGTGGAGATGTTAAAATTCCACTCATTCAGAAAGCTGAAACTCTCCCACAAAATTTCTATCATTGAACTTTGCATGAAGGAAGAACATAGATGAAATGCCTATGACATTTTGCAAGTGTTATGGGCCATGGTATCCCATATCATATGCACGTCATGAACTTTAACTTGCCTCATTTGCCTCATTCCTCTGAGTCTTAGCTTGCCAGTTAACTAGTACAGAGGTAGCACTGTTGTACAGTACTTTGTTGTAGAGAGGAAATAGAGAAGCAGATTATGTTATTTTTGTAATAATGCTTCCATATCTGAAAAAGTGCTCAAAAGCCTCATACCAATTCTCTGCATCAGTATGGATTTCAGTCTAAATGATTATTTTCAGAATCTGGGAAAGACTTAATTGCATGCCCAGATTCAATAATAATTTGTCACAGAAACCATATTCTTTGCACCCTCATAAAACTTTGAAATAATTAATTTACACTTTGTTTACTGTAGTACTTCTATGGTACTGTGGTGACATCCAGAGGTATTTCCCTTTTTTATTCATGAACACATCTTATTGTAAAACACTTACAGAAGTATTTCTGTTTCAGTAAGTTGTCAGTTACTAGAAAAACTTGATTTCCGAAAGGTACTGAGAGAGATATGAATCTGGAAAGCTGGAATTCTGAATATTAGCTAGATGCTGCTTGCCATCAGTTACTGTGGCTCCCTGTGGTTTCTCTAAACTTGTCTGTTCTGACAAGACATTGATCCAGAACCTATCCGAGGTCCAGATTCTTTTCTCATCATGTTTACACATGGTCATATTCACATGTGGACCAAGATTGAATCCTGGAGATCTCCAAACACAGCAGTTTGGTCAATCCAGAAAATTAGATGATACCGGGAATGTCCCTAAATTCCAAGACTAAGTGAAATGGGAAGATGCACATTTATGCTAGAAAAATCTGAAACAGGTTTGATGTCCACAAACTGCCTATTGTAAATGATGCCTAGACTACTTTACCTACCAAAACATATCTTGGAATTGTCCAGGAAGACTGCTAGCTAAAACAGTCCAAATTCAAGGCAGAGAATATACTAACAGTTTATTAGTGTAAATTATCATATTCTCATCTGGAGTTCCTGGTATACTTGAATTTACTAGTACAGAGACAGCCAGAAAGCCCAAGGAAGCCCTGCACCATGGTTTTAGTTACGTGTTTTAGATACAATAACCCATGGGTTTATATCTTGAGCTCATCTCTCCTACACACGTTGTAGGATCCTTGAGTCACTTATGTGAAACTAAAATGAGGAATGTGGATGGAAACAAGCAGGTCACAAGGTCTTCTTGTTTGTTGTGTGAATTGCCTGTTTCTGTGCATTGTCATTTCTGATGTAATTTCAAGTGCATTGTCGATTCTATTATTTATCTGGTAAGACAAGTGCTACTGATACTATAGATATACTCTCAATCAGGGACTGGACCTACACTGCAATTCTGCCTGCCCTTGGACAAGTCATCTGGGGAGATATCACTGCACTCTGAAACATGGAAGCTGAAGCTCAGAGGGAAAAAAAATGGAAACCCAAAAAACATATAAAACTGTTGATTATAAGTTGACTATATAATTCAGTTGAATGAGGCCTTAGATGCTTGTATTTTTCTAAATTTGAAATAGATTGACAATATTTTGATTTGATAAAACACTATTGTTTAAATTTTAAGGCATTACAATACTGTAAGGCTTATCCAATGTGAGTCACACCTAAAGAAAGAAATACTAGAAACTTTCCAGTGATGAACATTAATATGTGAAAATGTTATTGCCAGTAAAACTTTTCATGTGTTCAGTCATGCATAATATAACTATAATCACTCTTGTTCAAGTGAAATAACACTTCTGCTCTTAGGAAAAAAAAAACCAAAAAACTCTCCTTACTTTATTGCTCAGAGAATTTTATGGTCCTTTTTATTATTAAATCCAGACCAATTTTACCTAAGGAGCATAACAAAAAAGCTGTAGGAAATACCATTAATCTTTTCACACTTTTGTTGGTTTTCCCTCAGAGGCTGAAATATTATAATCTAGCAAAAGAAAAGCCAGTTGTTGAGTCTTCATTTTTGTTAATCCAACTGGTAAGAAATTTATGGTAAATCTATAAATCCATAATAATAAAGTCACTGAAGACTGACAAATTGTTTTTGTGAGGGCAAATGACTATGTGTTAAAAATGATGATGATGATGATAAAGATTCTGAAATAACAAGAGAAGATATTGTTGAGGAAAAAAAATACGATAGCCATAAAAATGTTAATTAAGGAAAACTGAAAATTCGGAGATTTAAATTTGAAAGTATCTATGCATTATATGTAATGTATATTTTGAAAGCTAGTCTCTTTTCAGAAGAGAAGACAGGCTTGCTGTGTTCATCTACTCACATAAGGAGATGGAGGCTATTCTTGAGAGCATGACAAGTATGACCTATTATTTGTAGAGGAACAAAAAGCAAAGTACCATGTTCAAACTGTTTACTTTCTGCACTGAAACCTATTAAAGAAAAATATTTCTGAGTTCCATGACAGTATGACTGGGGTCTGAATGTTTCACAGAATAAATGTCAGCTATGTTTTTGGCGTCATCATCTGTCAGGAGAATGAACTTATTTAAATCAGTTAAATATAGCTGTATATATGTTAGAAAACTCTTTCTAAACTGTTCTCAGGTAAACTACATATGCATCACTACATATGTAAAAGCATAAATATTATGGTGCTCTTGTAAAGATTGGAGTCTAAAGACGACCACCTTTTGCTGACACTTAAGTGAATAATTCCGATCAAGTTGCGGTGTAGACTTCAGAATCCAAATCAGTGTAATATTACTTTCTAAACAATCAACCTGGTAATTGGGTATTGATTATCAAGGCCAGAGTCCTTCACGGCCTTGCCTGCTTAAAATGGACATGAAATGTGACACATGAAACGACTGAGGGTCTTGCGATGTTGTGACAACTGCTAGCAACATACCGAAAATTCTTCCTGGAACTTTAGGTTGTTGTTTGTGCAAAGCTCTTCAACATGTTGTAGGAAGGATTTCTTGCTTATTGGCCTGAAAGTAATGACAGAAGAATTGGAAACCTATAGGGAATTTCTTTGTCATTCTTTTTACTCTTATTTAACTGCAGTTCATTAATAAACAATGTTTTTCGGTTCAATAGAAACTGATACTTACAGGCAGAAAATTATAAATTGCTTACAGCATGCTTATTTGTTTTGTTTTCAGTCACTTAAAATAGAATCATTTTCTCCCCTTGTTGTTCTACCTCACCAAATTTTTAATGTTGCTAATGTTAACAGTACTGGAGGGTAGGATTGTTTTTATAGGTAACAGCATTCCAAGGTGAGGTTTTGACACTGATGGAAATTTGTGAAGTTATCACTGCATTCTAAAGTACATAATACTTCTTTGTCGTGCAGAAAACATTTTATACATTGCAAGGTTTTAGACATATAAAATATTGCAGTGACCTCATTCTCATAATGACATGGTTTTTAAACCCTGAGGAGTTTAAATATCCCTGTATTACTTCCCAAGCTAAAACACAGACATGCAGGCTTCACCCCAGAGAGAGAGAAAGCGTTTCTCCAGTTACCATGCAATTAGTCATGCTTTTATGATTTATACGCAGCTTGGAGTTTTTTTCTAATAAACATAGCGGAGGGAACCACACATTGAGACTCACCGATGACCACAATATAAAAATCTTTAATCAACTTACTTGATGGATTTTCTATAACTAAGTAACCTGCAACAGAGATTTTTGTTAAATATAGCAAGCTGAGAGTTAACCAATATTGTGCATGTTAATAGGTTTTAGATGAAATATTTGAGTAACTAAAGAACCAGATTTTTCTCTCATGGATTCAAATACTATTATGTGTCAGATATCTTGGGTGATTGTCTTGCTTAGTTTTTATCTCAGGTATTGGCAGATACGCATATGCTAGTTACAGTTTCTATCATTCTCTTCAGATCATTTTACAGTGCTCTCAGCTCATACAGCCCTGGGAAATCCATATTTCCAGCACACTTCATATACATTTACAGGCCTCATTTTTTACACTATGTACTCAACATCATTCTTCTAAGGGCCATTTCAGAGCATAAAGATAGGATTCATCTGACTGAATACAGACACCTATTTCTGACCTAGTCACTCTAGTTTCCTTTTATAATCTATGAAGATAAATAGGTGTGATTTCATCTCATTTTAAGCAGATAATCTAAAGTAAGTCACAGATAAATTATGCTATTGGTGTGCTTCTACAGAAACCAAACAGCTGTGTCTGTTTTTCTAAAGATTTTGAAAACAAATGCCCCTTTTCCTGTTCATTTTTACATGTTCACTGCTTTTTCTGGTGTATTTTAAAAACTGTGCTATATATTAAATCTTTTATTTGATCCCACTGCAGGTTTCATGAAGATGTTACATCAGCATCTATACTCAGGGGACTTTCAGATGGCCTTGAAACTTGGTCATCATCATTGCCTCTGAACCCATTTTAAGAATGTCTTGGCATTATGGATTTAGAAGCCAAACTTTGGAAGCAGATTCACAAAGCTTGTCTAAAAGACCAAGACAAGTAGTTTGAAGTAATATAGTTTAAAAGATAACTTGCCCCTTCAAAAAAGTTCTAAGTATACCTTTTAAGTGTCTGGCTCTCCAAAAAATCATATATTCTTACATACAAATATTACAAAAACTATTTTATAATACAAATACAAATATCTACTGCTGCCATAATTTTAGTAGAAAAGGCAATTTGCTTTAAAAATCCTTTGGTTTATGAAGTTATTCTTAAATATTTAAATTTTAAATTAGATAATAAAATTAGATTAATACAATCATTGAGTAGTTTATTATTAAGCATCAGAGAAGTTAATTTCAAAGCTACTGAAGATGCCTTTGTGATACATACTTCGTTATGACAGTTCTCTTCAAACAAAACAAACTGGCTATGAAAGCCTTGGGTCAATCTCACTAGAGTAAAAAGAAGTGTAAGGATTCACAGAAAAAGGTTCAAAGTGCTCACTAGGACAGCTGAATGACAGCTTCAGAATGAAAAAGAAGGCAATAAGATGGCAAAGCATGCAACTCTATTCAGAATGTTTAGACGTCTAGCTAGTGCTTATTGTATCACTCATGTTTGTATTACTTGGCAGACAAAACTACTTTCTAGTAATATTGACAACATTATAGAGCTAAAGTTTCCTGAAGAAAACATATTTTTAACAGTTGTGCCAATGTACTGCACACAAATAGATTTGTCTTTGAGCAGAAAGTAAACTGTTTAAAGGGTTTTTTTCAGGACAAAATTATAATTAGTCTCTGCAAAGAAATGACACTTTTTTTTCCTTTGAATCCACCTATCTTCAGCACAGCACAACAGAAAAAAAAATAATTTCCCAGTTGACACCCCAGAAATTTTTTGAACACTCTTGGCTTTCCTCTTCTCAAATTGATAGCAATTAGGGGCTTACTGCACTTAATTTGCAGTAAGCAAACGCAGTTTCATCATTAGGGAATAAAAATTTCATCTGTGCTGTATATAAACAACCTGGGTACATCATTTAGTGCTACAGTTGCTGAAGGTACGTGGATCCAACAGCAAAGAAAAAAGGAGACCACCAGCACCATTAACACCACCTTACTGAACAATATTTCCTTTTTTTACTTTCACTCAAAGCAGGGAAGTAAAGCACTGAAATAGCTCAGGAAATGAACTAAACACAGTGTTATGTAAGTGGCTTTCTGATTAATTTTTAATATTAATAACAGGTTTTAAAGACATAACTATATATTATCTTTCACAAGCAGTAAACATTTTTAAACAAGGCACCTATAGATTGACACTTTAACCTATCTGTGGGCATTTAAGTGAAGAACTTGATTTTTTAGAACTACTGAAATCTCACACTTCTGTTGGTAGCAAGTGCACACTGTAGTGGTTTGGCAGCTCAGAAAATAAGATGATCTAATTTAAATGAATATATGAGAATTAATGTCTATGAATATGAAATGAATATATGAGAATTAATCGTGGCAAACATATTGTCTCTGTTGCTCAAGAATTTTCAGAAGGGATGAATTTTGTATGCTCACTAAAGACTTACGGCTATTCACTGTTTCAGCATTCTAAGGCTTCAAAAATTAGTATTTTTTCCCAGTCTCTTGACTTGGAATATGTAGTAATAATCTTACAGTATTTTATCAATGAACAAATACTCATTTACCTATAATCGTGTTCTCCACATTTCCCAGTCTTTTTTATAAAGCCTAAGAACATAAATATCACTAGAACTTGATAAGCACAATTTAGAATCAAACCAGGAAGTTGCAAATTTCTCTATTTCAGCTGGACAATTGCAGATTGCCACTTCTCTGACTTTGAAACCAGGAAAGAAAAACATTCTCAAAGAATGCTTTATTGCCTTAAATCTGATTTCCTTTTAAAACAGTGTATTGTTTCATGTGTGGGATTTTTTTAAGTCTATCAAAAATCTGAATCTCACTCAGATTACTTATGATAGAGCTAGAAAGAAGCCATTTATTTGTGTTGGCAGTGGTAACTGAAGACCATATTGTCACACAGACTCAGCTTTCTCTCTGGGTCAATCATCTGAAATCCACAGGGAATTAAAACTTTGTCCAAATAGAAAATGACAGCAATGAGTATGTAGGCAAAAGGCTTAACTCATAAGCACCATTGACACTTCCTAGGACCAACAGAGGAACTAATTTTTAGCAAGTTAATTGAAAGCAATATGGAGCTTAGCCCTTCCTAAATATTAAAGACCTAAGGAAAGAGAACACACGGTCATTTCTTCCATTGTACAAAGATATATACATTCATAAACCTTGTACTCCTGGGTTACAAAGATCAGGAAGCCTGGTTTTGATAGTTGATTACTAAAGAGAAACTTGTTGAAGAAAAAGGCAAGGCAGGACCCATGCCTATCCCCACTTAAAGAAAGAAGAAATGGGCTGGTCCAGAGAAAGTAATGTGTGTGCAAAAGTGTCACCTCAAATACAGACACCTACTGATGAGATCAGACAATCATTTTATGCACAGTACTTTTCCATAAAGAGTCCTAATTATCTGGTATTTGCAAGGGTTACAGTGTCTGTAATTCAGAAACATTTCTTCTGAATCTGTGCTCCCTTTGCTTGACAAGCTGTCTCACACAGAATGAAACAAAAGCCTCAAAGCATCTACCACAAGGTGCAACTTCTCAAGGAAAGATTTTAAGAAATGGGGACCTACACGGCTTTATCCTTGCTGCAGAAACCACTACAAAAGTAGGGTGTCAGAGAAGTTGTCTCCTAGGTAAGCACCTGGAACAGGGAAGTGTTACTTATCTCTCACCAAACCTGGTGCGCTCTGAAAATTTAGTGACATAATCTGTTCACAGCAGATGAATGTCTGCTTTGAAAAGTGAATTGCCAAACCCTATGGACATGTTACAAAAAGTAAGTGATGAGAGGCCCCAGTATATGTATACTGTGTTCTTAATGAACCAGTATTTAATCCAGTTTAGACTGATGGGCTATGTATGTTTTAAACAAGTGTTGTTTTTTTCTGTTATTGCTTGTCTCTATACCATCTCCACCATCATGGAGACGAACGTATGTCCCAGGCATTCAAAGTTAGCATTTTGGCTTCATAAATCAGATCTCATTTTCCACTTAATTCAGTAGGACTTAATTCCCTGCATGCCATTAATAAATTGCCTAACAAAGACTTGCTGAGAGATGATGCATGTGTGCTAGTTGGTATTAGTAATTTTCAGACTCTGAAGTTTATCAAGTAATTTTTTTTCTGATAAACATTATGTTAAAGAATTATTACTGGGAACTGGGATTTGCCATGGATTTCCTGATTTCCAAAGAAGTTTCAAAATTGGCAAAATGGGATATCTGGCACTTTTAAATCTGATGTTTTTTCTACTTAAACTGACTTTTGTAAGGCAAAATAATTCATAAACAGAAGTTATAAAAATGTGTAAAATAAAATTTTTTTATTAACTTATACTGAATGTTTGCTGAGTTTTGGTTCATTAAACTTTTCAAGCTTTTGAATTTTTGATCTGCTAAGAATGATAAAAAAAAATATTTCCAGTCATAGTCTCACAGAACATAAAAACCTTTTTCTACTTTTTATTTCTCATGTGATACCAGCTGCACAAATTTTCTGAGAATATGAGCCAAGATCATAGGCCACAATCCACTAAGTATGAGAGAATGTCTGAAGAGACAATGTATGAGAGACAGACAAGAAGGATCTCATAGAACAGGCTAGAATATCTTGATTCTGTGGATGAACTGTGTCAGCTGCAAGTCCATGCCTTTACTGATTTATAGTAGCTAACATGATAAATAATATACTGGCTGAGAAATGACAAAACACCTGGTTTCCAAAGCATCTCCTTCAAATGAATACTGATTGGGATGATTAGTAGGTACAGAAAAAAATCTATACTGCTCTTTTATCACGTAAGTTTTTCACACAAACTCCCCATCACCCTTTCAGGGTAGAAAGTATACTCAGTTGGACCACATTTCAGCTGATTTACTGCTATCCAAGAAATACAGACAAGCCAGCCTGGAAAAGAAGTCTGCCCATCTATGTTTTTCTCATACAATTACAAGATGCCATGAACTGAAGCCAGCATTATGCAACACAACGAGCTTTGCAAACACAACTGAGATAGCTGACTAAATGCAGCCAAGGTATGGCAGTTGGTTATGCAGATGCACTGATGCACAGTCCCATTCCAAATGTATGGTAAATTTGTGAAGGTTACACTGTAGTCATCAACATGTAATATAATAATTTAACATGCCAACATGTCACTGCTTTAACCACAAATCATGAGAATGATAAGGACAACACAAGAACTGGGACTCTGATTGACTTGTACATAGCTATTCCCCAAGCAACAGATACAGAAGTTCTTTTGTGGTGTAACTGTGGAAGTCTGAAAACAGGCTGCAAAAATATTTTAGACGTTAGGTTTTGCAGGAAGCTGCTTGGTGCATGCTGCCATGCTTCTGCCAACTTCTTGAGAAAACACATTGTTACCAGGAAGGATGAATCTATATGAAAGACAGCATTAGAGACACGTGAAATGTCTCTTTTGAACACCAACATTACCAGAACAGAATGTTCTGCATATTGAAACATTAGTTAAAACCTTAAAAAAAAAAGCATAATTAAGACATTTTGAGCAGAGAAAGGATATCCTGCCCCTCATTACTGTATGTATGTTATCTAGTAGGGTCCCACAGTACATTTACTGACTTTCAGTTGAAAAGGTGGCATAAATCCTGACCTGAGGAACTCAGTGCCTGCACTTCAAACTTCTACAATTTGTTGTAATGTCCAACAAAGGACCTAGGCAAGGAGTCTGCTGTAGCTTCAGTGCCGCTACTGTTTGAAAAATAATAATCTAAAATTGAACAGCTGCATCATGTACCTTACAAGAATGGCAGAAGAAAGTCCTTGCTTTTGGCCATTAAAGGAGTGGGGAAAGAGGAAAGAGAAAACTACAGTTGGAAGGACTTGACAAATTGCAAACAAAATGTGAGACTGACTCATTAAAGTAAGGGTGATATAACTAAAACTGCTGAAGCACTGTTCCGTAAAGGCCTTGATGTGCATAAATCACATAATGAAGTGCACATAAGTATGAAATATTATCATTTGCAATTACCCTGTAGAGTTTGAGACTGTACAAACCTAAACTACACATAGACAGAAAAGTGGCAGAACAGTACTCTGCAAACTGATAGTGGCATAGTACAAAACAGCTGCAGTATGAGTACAAAAGCAGTTGAGAAAAAAAGAGATCTTAAGTACATTCATTCTAACTGCCAAAGAAAAGAAACAGCGTTACTTATGTACTTATGTTACTTATGTACATTTCCTTCAAGAATAGGTTAATATATTGTCATAATGTGCTATAATTTCCAAGTAAAAATTGTCCCGATTTATTTCAAAATAGGTGTGGAACTGTTGTACCTTAACATTAGGGACTAAAAATAAGCATGATTTCATGATGACAAACACCCCTGTTTGTCACTAGCATAGCCGCAAAGATTGACATTTCATCTTGTTTAACGATATCACTCAATATAGTACGGTAGCACACAGAGAAAACAGAATGGAAAATGTTGCTTCAATAATACAAAAACTTACTGGATGACAAATATCTCCTTGCGTCTAAAGAAAAATGAAGAGTATCTGGAAGTAAAATCCATTAACACTTTAGTATATAAACAAAATTAGTATTATTCTTATTCAACTAACAGTTTGGAAACAAGGCCATTTTGAAGATCCATCAAGATCATTTATACAAGTCACAGTTACCACAGTGCATTGTCAATTGTTCTGTCTTCAGAGAATGCTTTCTGCTGTAGGTAGTAATCAATGCTCTCTGAATGAGATGTGCTCCACCCAGAACATACCACATCCATTACATCAATGATTTTCAGATAATTCATAGTACGTTTTCTCATCTGTTACAAGCAGCCATTCCTGTCTGCACTATTTTGAACAGGTTTGTACATACAATCAACTTACTATGTACCACACACATAGACATACACACACTCAAACAAAACAGGTCAACAGCTACAACGTTTCATCTTCCAGCTACTCCTAGTCTGCAACAGTAGGATACCTGACTGCTAGGGCAAGGCTATGTTAGGCTTCTCATCTTTAAGGGGACTGCCTACCACAGTGTTTCATGTGTGACACAGCAGGGGAAAATACAGGCAGGTAAAGAAGGTTCACCAAACATTTCTAACTGAGTTGGATGTCACATATTATTTGGAATCATAATTTAATTTATTTGGTGAATAATATCCATATTTCTGGCAGTCAGAAAGAGCACGTTTCCTTCTGCAACAAGATTCTTTGTCAGACAGAAAATACAAATTTTCTGGAATTGCTGCATACACCTTAAAGGAGCAGATGTCAAGACAGGCAGTGTTCTGAGCTCCACGGAAACCCAGATATTATGCAAATCCCTGTATAAATAAAAAACTTTCTAAATGTCAATTAAACAATGAGAGATTTGTTCTTGAATAAGTTGACCAGGACTTCTGGGAGTCTGACTCTTTCAAAATGCTTATGTACGTTTGCAGTCTACGCAAAACGCTAGGCCATAAAAAACCCTCAGAAATTCTGCATGTTTAAAAATATGTATCCCTTATTTTTGCTAACACAATTAAACAGTGATTTGCACTTAGATCTTTATCTTGTTGTAAAAAGAGCTGAAGATTAAGTGATTTTCTAAAAGCTAGTGAGAAGTGTCTTGACGATAGAGGTCATTCTTTGAAAGAGGATCTCAGTGACCTGTGTAAATAAGAACACCACAAACACTTCCAAACAAGCAAAGGTCAGAAAGGGGTCATGGCTACAGCCCCTTTGGACTACTGTTTTGCCTAAGGAGTATGCTTACCGTGTAAATCTCTCATCTTTCAGCTCCAGGTCTGCCACTGTGATGAACTGATCCAGTTTGAACTTAGTGTCAATAATTTCAGCATCTCGTGGGGAGTATGTGCCTCCCTCTTTTTGCTTTTGGCGAATTCTAAACAGAAAATGATAGTGAAAAATAAACAGGCAAAAGATTTAAAAACACATATGTCGATACTTTGCTTAGACAGGCTGAAACTGAAAAATGGTTGCCAGGAATCCCTTCTTGGCCTTCATTCTGCTCTCCCAACAGTGTAGTTTAGTCAAATCCAGCAGTTACGTTGTCTAAAACTAATATGGAAAGAATCTAGCCTATATATTCATTTAGTTTTCTTATATAAATTCTTTGGCAATGTTTGAATGATGCAGCTGAGAAAGAACGGAACTTCTGATAAATAAGCAAACTAATATCATGTATGCAGAATGCAGTCTGCTTTTTTACATGGACATTTTGTTCACAATTTGAATTAGAGGTCGATTGCTCTTTCACATGTGATACTTCAATGTATTTACTGATAAATTTATTAGTAAAACAGAAAACAGAATTTAGAGTATTTACTTCATATCAAGCTGTCAATAGGGTTAGCCATCACACTAATTTCAGCCAGCTGATCTGTATCCTGAAGTCAACAGAGAAGTGTCTCTGAAAGGTTAAGATAGGCTATTGCTCTGATTCACCCTGTGGAAAAGTTGGTTTTACTCCTTCATCTATGGAGGATACCCTCACTAGACTGGAGCTTTTGTGAGTCCTTCCCTAAATTTCTAAATAAAAGACCAAAGGAAAAAAAAATACATAAATCTCACCTTGCAAAAGCGTATACAGCAGCCACCAAAAGAACAACTGAAAGTATACACAAAGTAACAGCAAGGATAACTTCTACAGATCTTCCTGACAGTCCTTCACCTGCAACAGAAAGTGGAAATCTAGTATTTCATAGATTCATTACAATTTTTACATTTCTGACAGGGTTAAATCAGGGAGCGACGAGAGACAGACACTCTTCTTTCTGTACAGCTTCATCCATTTTGTGTCAGCCAAAGAGCTGCTCAGGAAATAAAAATATAACAAAACCAGAAACAATTTATGTAAAGGTTTCTACACATTGCTGATCTATGTAATACATAATGCTAATAGTATATATCTACAGCTATATGTACAGACATCCCCTGGTGCTTTTCAATTTTACCTGCTAAACAGGTTAAGGTAGGTCTACACTGCAGTAACAGTCGGAACACTATCCTGAGCTGAGCTCCTGCTTCAGTCTCTGTGTGGCCAAGAACAGACACATTGTTCTAACAGCTAGGAGCAATCAAACTCCAGAAGTGGAAAAGGAAGAGCCACAACTCTAAAGCTATGAGGCTTGCAGCCATCATTCACATGCACAAAATAAAAGATGCTTTTTTGGAGATAACTCTCCTCAGGGTGCTGAAGGAACCCACCCAGTGATCAGGTAGATTTCTGGATTAATCTGCCTCACTGACCATTATCTCATATTCTTTATTTATGTAGAAATTAGTGATATTGCTAGAAATAACCATCAGCAGGTCAAAAGAAATCATAAAGGTCTCTATGATAAAAAGGTAAAGGTGTTGGTATGCTAATCAGTCCTTCCAGGTGAGAATGAAGGCTCATTCAGAGACATAAACCACTTAGGTTAGTAGTTTCTAGACCTCTTTTTTAACCTCTTTGATGCTAAATTTCTGAGAATTACCACCCTTCCTGGTAATCCTGTCCCTACCTCAAAAACCACAGCCTCTTTTTTCCTTAGTGAAAGTAAGAAAAGCAAGGCATTACTACTGCTGGCATTGTTCACCTATGCTGACATCTACCTCCACTTGCTGATCCAGTGTAGAAAACCTAGCTCCTGTTCAGCCTCCAGGAACGAGAGAGAAAGGTACTGCTTCCTGCCATATGATACATTTCCCACTCAAGGGACAGTATCTTCCTAAGGACACACTGGTAGACACGGAAATCCTGGCTTTAGTTCTCTCAAAAGACTTTGATTTTTGGATTAGATAGTATATTGCAGATGATCTGGACTGAATGTACATGATTAAAAGTCAAAATTATCCTGATTTAGCTGAAGAAATTGTCTTAAACCAGCAGGATGTAGTTTTGTAAGATCAATTGCATGATCAATTCTCATGTAGGCAGGAAATAATCAGCTACAATAATACACCACAGTAAAGAGTAGGTTGGGTAGAAATTTATTAGAAGTAAGTGTGAGATTATTGTAGACCAAAACCAAACATGAATAAGCAATATCATGCCTGTATGAAATAATAGACAATGGAATTAAGTGCAGTTTATGAACCACCTGAAATAATTATTTCACTGCATTAGTTAAGTTTCAAAAGCAACACTGGACACTACAAGGTAAGAACAATTTAGGCCAAGGAAAGACAATAGAAAAGGAAAGCAAGTATATAAAAATATGTTGCAAGAAGAAAAGGATGAAAATGTCCCTGCCACTTGCTGATATCTGTGATAAGGCACAAATGTTAGTAATGTGGAAGAAGAACAGAAGAATCTCCAGAAGAAACTCTGTAACAGTTCTATCCATTTTGCGCTAAACAGTGAAGTCAATGTTAAACTCTACAGTTAATGTTAGTCCAAACTTTGACAACATTAAATAAAACAGTGCTGGCAGAATACCCATCAAGAATTAAAAATATACATTTTCTCCTACTTCTTTGCAACAGGGAAGGACTACACATGTCTGTAGAGATGATCATGGGTAAGGGAAAGGAGATGAAACAGAAGACATCATGTTGTATAATTCTGAGGTGCCCAGTACATGATGATAACAAACTGCAATAACAGAATATCCTAAGGTAGGTTTCTATGCAAAAGGCAGGGTCAGGAGACCCCATTTTGATTACTTCTGTCTCATTAGCTTTGTATTTCACATGGAAAAAGTCTACACTTACACAGGACTACCAGCTGTCCCACAACGATTTGCTGAACTAGTTATCAGAGTTTATGAAAGGTTATAAGCTGCCTTGATGTATTAGGAGTTTAAACAGAATTTGTCACCACATCTTAATTATCTCATGGAAAAATCCTGACCTTTCATTGCAGTATGGACGTTATTTTGCAATGTCAGTCATGGGTTATAATGAAGAAACTCTACTTCTCCAGCTCAAGAGGAGAGTTGTGGTACTCCAAGTATGGTTGAGTGGGAGCATCATATTAAAATGTATCCTTTACTATAATTAAAAAAATCATTATTGCAGCTGTGTATTCCAATAATTTCTGCTTCAGTGTTCCTCCCTAGCAAAATTCCTATTGTTTAACAAGAGCATCTGACGTCTGTCACAGAGAACTCTCTCATGGGTTTTCCACATTTTTTCTGCTTCAAACATATTTAACATGCGGTATTAAATTGCAGATACAAGGTTAGCTTTCCAGATCAAAGACCTGCCTATTCTATAAGCAGACTTAGAAACCAAAATAATGTAGGATTCTTCGAAATTAACACCTCTGCCAAAATTCAAGTTAATGTTTTATATAATAAAATGAAAGTGTAATTTTGGAAAACCACAAATTTAAGTTATTATTACAAAAGAAGATAATTGATTTAAAATTGAATTGCAAGTCTGCTTTTAGGCAGCATAGATTTCTTCTGAAAAGATGCTGTTGTTACAAGTGGAATAGAAGCAACTAGTCACAGAGATACCTAACAGATACTGATCTTTCTGGTATGTTTTCTGGGTTGTGCTCCTAGAGCAAGTCTGCAGTTCATATAACGAAAAGATATTCTATAAGAAAACACTTGGGCAAGGTTCCTCAGGTTACATGTCTCAACAGAAAATGTGTCTGAAAAAAATCTAACTTCCTTTATTCACTTAAGATGACATCAGTAATGACATTGCCATTTGCTGTATCTTCAAGGCCACTCAACATCAGTACCTGCATCACTTGCGATACATGAATTTGATGTTGATTTCACATCACTTGTAAGAAAGCATAGAAGGAACTTTTAATTATCTGTTCCACTTCAGTTTTGTTTCTTGTTGGATAGGCTCTGAAACTTAGAAGTTAAGGACACAACAATTTTCTGTAGTGCCCATTTTAAAAGCAGTGCTTGAGGTTAAACTTTAGCACAGAAGTCACTGGATGGGTATAAGAAGCCATGGATATCTGAGGTTTATTTTTATCAGGTCTATTTTTTTTCCTATTATATTTTATTCAGCATACAAACAGATCTTGCTTCCTCATGATCTACACCAAATGAGAATGTGTCACAAGTTTTCAGTAACAATACAGAAGTGAATGAATTACACTATCTGCCTGCCACTAAAGCATGATTTCTTTAAACATTGCAGACTTTTCTGTTAGAAAGGAGAAAGTTGCCCAGAGGACTGGATACAGTTGGACTCATTTCCAGTAGACTTCTTTTCCCTGACTGGACGCACTGGCTTTCACTTACTGGGCAAACTATTTGCTTCATTGGCTTAGAACTTTTAAATTCAGAACATATAAAGACAATTTTGTGTTGCACTTTCCAAAACATTCAGAGCTAGAAAAATAGTGCATTCAGGTAGTGAATTAGCATTTCAGTATATTCAATATCAGATCGTGTAACAAATTTCTAACATGGATTAGATGAATAAGGGAGCTCATATCACAGAAGATGAATGCCAAATGAAAAATATGTGCCCACTAAAATTCTTCTGGGTACTTATCCAGTTGTCTTGGGATTCCTTTTCAGAAAGTCAGGGCTAATGCTTAGCTAAGCAAGTTTTGGCTTACCAATATATTAAAAGAATTTACAGATCTTATTGCGATCTGCTACCAGAGTCTTCATTCCCAACTTTAGGGGTAGATCAACACTGCCATGAAGGAATTTACGCTGGATTTGAGACCCCATAACAGCTGGCCTATTGGCCAGGGACATCAGAACCATATGGATTCTATTAGACAATATTAATTTATTAATTAATATGGAGCTTTGTCTGAATCTAAAGGATGAAATGCTAAAAGGGTCATGTCCTCAGATGAATGGCCACTAGGAGAAATGATCTGCAGTCAAGAGGTTTCCTACACTAGGCTCACTGGAATAGAACCACAGGATCAGAGAATTGTTAGGGTCGGAAAAGATCATCAAGTCCAACTGTTAACCTAACACTGCCAAGTCCACCACTAAACCATGTCCCCAAGTGCCACATCTACAAGTCTTTTAAATACCTCCAAGGGATGGTGACTCAGCCACTTGCCTGGGCAGCCTGTTCCAGTGCTTGACAATCTTTTTGGTGACGAAATTTTTTCTAATATCCAATCTAAACCTCCCCTGGTGCAACTTGAGGCCATTTCCTCTTGTCCTATCTCTTGTTACTTGGGAGAAGAGACCGACACCCACCTTGCTACAACCTCCTTTCGGGTAGTTGTAGAAAGTGATAAGGTTTCCCTTCAGCCTTCTCTTCTCCAGCCTAAACTCCCATTCCCTCAGCTGCTCCTCACAAGACTTGTTCTCTAGACCCTTCAAGCAGCTTTGTTCTCCTTCTCTAGAAGCATTCCAGTACCTTAATGTCTTCATTGCAGCGAGGGGGCCAAAACTGAACACAGTATTCAAGTTTTGGCATCATCAATACTGAGTACAGGAGGATAATCACTTCTCTAGTCCTGCTGGCCACACTATTGATACAAGCCTGGATGCTATTGGCCTTCTTGGCCACCTGGGCACACTGCTGGCTCATATTCAGCTGGCTGCTGACTGTTGACCAACACCCCCAGGTCCTTTTCTGCCAGGCAGCTTTCCAACCACCCTTCCTCAAACCTGTAGCATTGCATGGGATTGTTGTGACACAAGTACAGGACTTGACACTCACCCTTGTTGAAACAAGGGTGTCATAAAATTGGCCTTGGCCCATAGATCCAGCCTGTCCAGATCCCTCTGTGGACCCTTGCTACCCTCAAGCAGATCAACACTCCTGCCTAACTTGGTGTCATATGCAAAATTCCTGAGGGTGCACTCAATCACCTTGTCCAGATCTTTGATGAAGCTATTAAACAGAACTGGCTCCAATTTTGAGTCCTGGGGAACACCATTTGTGACTGACCATCAACTGGATTTAATTCCATTCACCACCACTCTTTGTGACTGGCCATTGAGCCAGATTTTTACCCAGTGAAGAGTATGCAATACTAGCTCTACATCCAACACAGAGGAAAACTGCACAAATGGTATAGTTTTTTGGCAGTTCACCAAGCAAGATGAGCTATCCTGGCAAAATAGTATTTTTATTGGTATAACTTAATCTCTGCTAATGAGCTTTGTCAATAACGCTTCTTCATTTAACGGTCCAGGCTGAGGTAAGACCTCCTGACAACCTTAAAAAGACATACAAGGATAAATTTTCCTCAGCCATTCTGGTCCAACAAAAATAGAGATTATTTACTTCAGGGAAATCACTGTAGTAAAAAAAACATGGGAATTTTCTTGATTCTTTGGAAATAGAGAAATATATTAGTAAATGACACTTTTCTTACCTAATGTTTTGACAGGGTCAGAATAGTCAGAATCTGTAAACTGTCCTTTAACGTTAGTTGCTCTGAACTTAAATCTGTGAAACAAAACCAAGAAAACTAATGAAATAAAATTTTATGTGCATTTTCTTAAATATTTCACTCAGAAACTAAAACCTGTTTTTTCATTTTAGTATAATATAAGCTGGAATCATTATTCACTTGCTGAAGTGATGTTATGACAGACATCAAGGACTTGGTGTCAATATCTTAAATTTATAATCAAACTATATTAATTAGTTAACTTAAATTTGGGCTTAATTAATTTAATACTCAGTAAGCAGCTTTTGTTACTTGAAACATTTAAAAAAACATTTGTCTCCCATATTTATGCTCAGACAAAAAATGTAAAATTACAGACACATGAAGTTAATTTCAATCTTTTCATTTTCATAATTGAACTACAGGGCTTTTATGTTTGTATAAATGTATATTTCACTTAAAATTTTCTCTTGGACAAACATAGAGATAAATGTACTTACAGGTACTGCTTTCTTGGTTTCAGTGGGCCATTACATATTTTGTCTTGACTGCCTGGTATCATACACGTAGTATCAGCACCTATGACATAAATCTCTTCTTTGCCACTCAGATCTTCTTTTCCTTCTATACATGGTGGGTTTGGAAATCCTTCATTTGTAAAATACAGCCTCGGTCTGTTGAAGTAGGCATCATACCACTTAGTAACATTCCCATCATGCTGAGCTATTGTCAAGAAAAAAAATAATCAGATACAATTTACATTTTAAACAAACTGTAATTAAAGAAGTTAAATAGGAAAATAATTTTAACAGCTTAGCATGCTATGGTTTCCATTTACACAACTAAGTCTATAACTAACTATATTTGCACTTGAACACAAATTTCCTCATTATCCACAATATCTGTATTTTGTTAACTCAGAATAAGTCAACTGAATCACAACTAGATAATTCCAGAGTCAGTCTCACATATGAGCTCTGCCTGTAGAGGATATCAGTTGTGCAAGCCACTTTGAAACTGCGTATGGGTAGCAAATACAGTAATAGTGTTTAGTCTAAGATTTTCATAAATGAAATTATTATATTTCTAGAAGTCGACAGTGCTCAGCAACTCAGGAGAAAAATCTTCAAAATGTTACTTAACATGGTATTTGTGTATCTATCAGTTCAAGAGAATCTTCACAGCAATAGCTATGGAGTAAATGTCTGTAGGATTAGTGCTAAAATGCAAAATTCAGAAAAAGGTGAGAGACTTGTGAATTCACTTAATGTGAATGCTTTACTTCTATACTTTGAAAGCAAGCAAACCAGGGGAATTAAATACCTGGAATTTGTCCTTCTTAGGTAAATTAAGCCTGACCATATGATGTCCTATCATGAAACTCCCACTCACATTGGTAGGCAATTACTCAAAAGAGTATCATGGCACTGTTCATATGAGTAAATGTTCATCAGTCCATACAAGGGAATACACATTGTAATCCACAGTCTACACAAGGGATTTATACAAATCCCTCTGCCCCCGTTATGAAATGGAAATATCAACTGCACATGACTGCATTCTTTTACAGGCAACACTCATAGCAACAGAAGAGTAACCTTGCCAAAGAAAAGTTTCATATATATTTACCTTTCACAAATGCCAAATCTTTTTCTTTTCTTTTTTTTTTTTTTTTTTCCATGAAAATAGGAAATAAAGAAATAGAATGGTAATGATAGAGCCAGTATAATATTGGTGACTTCAAACAGCATGGATGACTCTTTGTTGGCAAGAGTTCCCAAAATCCAGTATGCAGGCCACAGGTATTATGAAAGCTACTTTGCTCTTACTACTGTTGCCACAGATAAAGTGACTTCGTTAGCTATTTTCTAACATTAAATTACTGAGACCAAAGAAAAGAAATAAAAAAGACAAACAGCCTGAAAATAAAGAAATAAAAAAACCTGAAAACAATTTTCAAGAAAACTGATAAAATTCTACCTCCAGCTTCCACAACAAGAACTTGTATCTTCTTGATAGGGCCATGATCATCACTGTAATAACAGATTGGCATTCTGATCGTAATTGTTGTAGCTGTCACGAGTAATGCCCCATTAGTATCATAAACTGGTGCTGGTTTCTTTTTAGGCCGTGGTGGTTCTGTTTTGAAACAAAGATATACCACAGAATTTTGTTTAGAAATGTTTTCACTACAAGTACTTTGTTCAGGCACATAGCTGTGTTATGCAAGACAAATCATCATATTTTCAGGGACAACTTAATGCCTTGAGCCTCTAAAAACTGTATTCTGATACATGCTTCTGCATATCAGTTTTCAAATTTTCAATTTTCAAAGAGAAAACAACAAAAAGACTGAGTCTTAGTTTTTTAATAATTTTCAATCACTCACTGTATTTATTTCCACAACTCAGATACTGTAGGCTTAGCTATACCTCTGTGATATTCCTCTAAGCTGTTTGCTGATGGTAACTAAAATACTGAAGTCAAGTGATCACTTCACTGAGTCTGCACATGTTTACAGTATCAAAAAGAAAAAAAAAAAAAACACAACAAAACCAAACAGCAAATGATCAGTTATATGCAGCAAAATTAGGCACTGCAATTGAAGGCTATCAGTTATGTGTTTATGTTCCTACATTATGTGGCCTCTAAATAATTGACAAAGACACACAGATGTGTAGTCACAGATAGAACAGTAATTTCCTCAGCATTTATAGATATTTCAGCTAAAGGGTACTTTTTGAAACATACCTTTAATATCCATGGTTATTTTCAATTGAATTTTTGGCCCTGCACCAGCACCGTTAATTGCATACACCTTAAAAAAACCAAACACTTGTTTTAATGATCATTTGTAATAGCTTCAAGATGGCCAAATCTGGATATACTTGAAGCAACAATGAATGCTGAAACACTCCTTTTGCCATTCACACTTTGCTAGAACTTCCTTCATATTTCTTTACAATCCCAAGTACAGCAACACTTCATCACTTCTAATGTAGCTCTTGCAAAAAGGAGAAAATCAAGCCCACTTTAACAATTATGTTGCCTCCTCTCATGTCCTAGTCTCTGATTATTTGAAAAGACTTCATGCATGTACTTCGAGCAATCTCCCCTTGCAGAACTGGACTTTTCATCTGAACCGAATGAGCAACGTAAGTAGTGGAATTAAGAGATTTAGTCTTGTACCTGTGACAATGTGTCACAGGCTGCTTTGCTAGCACATGAACTGGTGGTCCAGAGTACAAGCTAACCAGTAGTGATGCGTCCTGTTCCCACTCACTCTACAATCTTCATTGCTCCCTTCATTCCTCAGACTTGTCTCTCTTCACACTGCAGCTAACATTATCAGCATGAAAATCTCATACTCAGCCTAGGTTTGTGTCCCTGTTCAGACTGATCTCTCACGTATATCAAAGAAAAAATGCAAAGAAAAATATCAGTTCTTACGCTGACATTATAGGTATGTCCTCCTTTTAGTCCTTCTATCATGGCAGTTACTGACTGATCTGTTTTATCAATGACACTAAGGTTGTGGATCTGGATGGCAGCAGGGTCATCTTCATTGTAAACCATAGCTTGATACACCTGAATATTTCCATTCGGTTCAGAAGGCGGCACAAAGGTTACTTGGAACTTTGTTACTTCATCTGGTATCTTCTGAAATGTTATATTGTTAGGTGGGTCTTCAGGCACTGAAATAAATATTTCAATGATCCACTTAATCAGTTTACTACTGTAAAACCTGAAAAATTATAAATTCTATTTTTTCATATCAGTATTATCTCATAGGTATTTTTCTGGTTTTATTTAAAACATTTTGAATACTTATTGCATATGTAAATATTTATAGACAATAAGAAGATAATTATTTAGTGAAAACCTACTCTTAATGATAGCATTTAATGTTACAAAAACTAAAAATAATGAATTGATAACTTTCAGTAGTCTCCACTCAGAAAAGTTTCTTCTGATTTTCTACTCAGAAAGCCTGAAGGCATCATTATACCTTGAAATACATCCAGAGTAAACAAATCCTTGCATGGGTTGACAAGCAAGAAGCAAGTGTTAGTCTTGAATATCCCTTTCTGAAATCCCTCTGTCAACAGCAAGCTCCCTCTCAACATATAAACAAGCCACCATGCTCCTAAGAGTCTCTGATTATCACAGCTAAATCTTTAGGAAAAAACTTTTCACTAGCCAATGCCCAGACACAAACGCAACATGCTTTTTTCCCAAAGACAGGTTTTTGTCAAATGCTTATTCCAGTAGCTTATTCTCAAGACAGCAAAGGTATAAATCATTTCCTCCATGTCCCTATCTGAAGGAAAAGGCTGTAACATTCTTTCCCAGGCAGCTAATATTTATTCCTCTACCTTGCAGTTAAGTATGTAGCATGACCTCTAAATAGTGAAATCAAGCAACTGAAGGTAAACACATTCCCTCAGCTAAGGATTTAGATGCAGCTGTCACACCCTCCAGGTTTTTTACACTAGCCAAAAAATGCTTACTTAGGTCTCTCTGGAGTAAATCTGTGTAAACTGGTCCTAACTCAGCCATGTGCTAGACTGGACAAACCAGATGAGACAAGACGAGATGGTAAGAATAACTTTTCTTCTCTAAGTTTACTGCACCTCATAACATAACACATTTGTAGGTAAGAAAACGGGCTACCAAAACAGATAGCTCATAGGACAGACCCAGCTACCACCTAATTTCATTTTCATTCATTCTTCCACAGTAAAAGACCACATCAACCTCCAGGAACATAAACAGGTCATGGAATCCTTAGAATTTAACATATTAAAAGCATTAGAGAGATATATGTACACACACACACACACTCATATCACATCATTAGGGACACTGGATTTTCATACATCAAAGGAAAGATAAATGATAAACCACTGTGTAGTATATCTAAAACTGAAATTAACCTGAGTACGTAGCTAAAAAAGCTGACCTGCAGCTAACCTCACTAGAGATAAGGTAATTGTAATTTATACACAGTTGATAATTAGTTTGAATGAAACAAAACTTCAATATCTTTTCAGAAAATATTTTTTGTTGGTTTGTTTGTTTGTTTGTTTGAATATCTTCAGCGAACAATTCAAAACCAGCAAAGATAACAGACATGGCATAACCAGGAACTAGGTATGTGAAGCTAGAACTATATCTTCCCCATGTACATCTGTTTATATTTTCCTAAGCAAATGCTATCTACTTTTCTGTAATGAAGCCTCTTGGTGTCATGAGGTCCTTACACAGTTCCTCACTCTCATCTCTCAATATTATTTATCTGAGTAACTTAATAGCAGCAGCAACTTTTGTCCCCATAGTATCTACTTCATTCTCCAGATTTGAATCCATGGAACAGCTGACTCAAGCACAGATCCCTGTGGGCCTTCAACCCAATCCTTCAATAGGATAATATAAAGATCGTGTCCTCAAGTCAGTACATGTACCATTTATAAATGGTAGGATTCACTTCACTTAATTTTTATATGTTCAAATTTTGCATCAAGACCAGGGATGTTGTATAGGGTTTTCAATAGTCTCTTAAGGGAAACAGGCACTTGCACAGGGCAAAGTCATCCTTTCCTAAGGCAGGTATCTTATATATACATGCTAATATAGATAGGACCTCTTTTCATTGACTACAGAAGTAACCTAGATGGCTGTGTTCCACACATTCATATTGTACATGAAGCAAGTTAAGATCTCTGCATTACTAAAGGTAAATCTTAGCATTTATTAACACCATCACTTTTATTGTTGACTGCCACCTATATTTAAATACTAAAGACAAAACACTGTGAGAACAAATCTTCATTAAAAGTGCAGCATGTGTTCAAAATTCTCATTTATATGTCAGATGAAAGAAAAACTGCAAAGTTTAATCCATATAAAGTAGAGAAAAATACAAACCTGCTTCAAAAGTTGAGACAATTACTGGAGAACTAGCCTTGCCTTCAAGGAGCGCAGCATTAACATCCCCCGTAAAGGCAATGATTACTACAGAGTACCTTGTAAATGCTTTTAAATCAGAGATTTCTAAGACTTTACCCTCATCATTTGTCTTCAGAAACTGAGCTTTATAGTTGTCATTATCTACCTGTAAAATAATAATAATATTTAAAAAACAATCACAAGACTTGAAACAGCCAAAAGCAGGACATTATTAGTTGAATACCTTATTTAACTTTTATCTTTCTACTTTTCTAACCATTTACATAGAAGGGTTCACAAGAAGTCCCTAGCTACCAAGACTAAAAAGATGCACAGGGGAGTACGCTCCCATCTCACCCATGTGTTCCCTCTTTATTACTTCACACAGTATGGGATTAAGGAAATGGGCTGTTTGCTTGGTGCTGTCTTCCACCAAGCAAACATGAACCAATTGGTAGACACTGGGCTAGGGGAGCTGTAGTGACCAGAAATGGGAATCAGACTAGGCAAAGACCCAGAAGATGAGCAGCTATATAGTAGAAAATTGTTTGGAAAACAAAAACAAAAAGAAAGTTGGGCAGCAATATATAATGTTGGTATGACTGCAGAAAGTGCAGTTCCTCTTGGGATGTATTAAAAGAAGCACTACTTATAAGACAGTGGGGAGGCAGTAATTCTCTTACTAAAAAAGCTGGAAAGCAGAAATAATTTGAGTTCAATCTAGAACAGGGAGGATGGTGGGAGACATAGCAATAACTTCAAAAATATAAAAAAAGACATTAATAAATTGAATATAATCAATTGTTTCTAGCATTCATGAAAACACAAACAGAAATTTTATTTGCAACAAAAAAAAGATCAGAATTAAAAATTACAAAAACTGCAATCATATACCTAAATATGTAACTAAAACTATGTTTAGTTAAAACATAGAACAATTTATTGAGGGTTGCTGACCAATTTTCAGCACTGGATATTTTTAAGAAAAAGATAATAAAGGAAGACTTTATGTACACTTGTTTCTGCGTTAGAGCAGGATATGGACTTGATTACTACTTGGGATCACTATCATCCCTACATCTCAAATAATCTGTAGTTCTGTAGAAAAATCTACAGTGTCGGGCTTTATATTCTATTAATCACTTCTAATGTTAGCTTAAAAATGGAGAAAAAGATAAAAATATAAGCTTTTCTAGTCTTTGATCAGGTATCATTTACAAAATTCTTTTTATGTCTATTCCCACCACTTCAGTTAATGATGTTTTCATTATTGTTTCTTCAGTGTGTAATTTGAAAAGAGGATTAGGTAGCTGTACAGTAGTTTTCCCACTGGATGAAATCTGTATTAAATGCAGCTGCTAAAACATTAGAATAGTTCAAGCATACCTTTTATTTGATAGATATGCATCTATCCCCTCTGAGAATTAACCTGAACTAAACTTTCTGATGGACTAAACAGACATTCATTTCCTGGGATGGCCATCAAGAGCTGAAACACTTTTTCCTATATGACTATCAAAAATCTGGCATATAAATATTTATACAAGAGCCAAAAGACAATCACAGTGCTACATCATTAAATTAATTTCTATTCTTCCTGAAGTTTAATGGATCAGTTCCATCTTCCTTCATAATTTTCAGCAATATTTTATTCAGGACTATTTCTAATTACAGTAGGCAGCAGTACTACTTTTAATTATAATAGGCAGCAAGGCAAACTACAATATGACTTGGAGGAATAATAACGAGGGAGTACTTTTTAGTTTTTCTGACCTATAAAACTGCAAGGAACATCCTAGCAATTTAAACAGAACCCTAATAAATTCAGTAATGAATACTAATTACTACCTTTTAAGAAGAAAAACATCACAGTAGAAATCTGAAATTTTTCTGTTTCTGTGAGACTACTTTTATAAATCTTTAAAATAATCAGTTGAGAATTAAAATGAGTAAAGTTGTACATACAGGAAGTTTGTGGAATTTGGAGACTTCATAAAAATTTTCCCACTGGGACAATAAAATATATACTCAAATTTTCACTGAAAAAGATTGTGACAGCTTTATTTGCCTTTAAGAAGGAATAGATCCACTAAGATGTTTATCTACAGAACTGACACCCATAGTTACTGGTCATTAGACAGACAACATGTGATTACAAGCAATCCCTAAATATAATGCTAGGTATCTGAAATTTGGAAAAATATTTGGAAAAAATCGCCACTTTGTAAAAACAAAACCAAAGCCCTCCAAACTGGACATTTAAAACAGGTTTTCAAGTTTCTTCCAAATGCTGGCAGGCTCACGGGAAACATTCTATAGTTCATCTTACCTTCAGAATTTTTCTATTAATTATATTGATAAGGTACTTAAAACATTTTCATAGTGTAGAATCAGATGACACTATAATTCAGAAATTATCAGATAGGGGAGAAATTGTTTAAATACAAATTGACTGAATATTACACACTAAAAAAATCCAGCTCTGAAAACTGAATTTGTAAGTTTTATCAAAAGCATGAAAGTATTTTTTTCTGTTGGTGCACTATAATGCTGTTTAGCCCAAAGTCAGGAACTTTTCATGAGGAAAAAGTCTTCTAAAACTTTAGTAAAGGAGAAATATAATTTGTTATGTAGATTCGAGTGATTTACACTGGGTCAAGGAACTATTCCTTCCCTGTTAGTATTCCCCTTTTATTGTACATGCTTCATTCTGTCATACTAGTGCTGTGGTAAGTGTCTTCAGAACAGAACAGATTGCACTCTACATATTGTACAATGAAGTTAGAGGAAGAGAAAATAGCAGGACTACACATTACTCTCTCTTGTAACTTTACTGAGGAGCTTAAAAATATTTGGTATTTTTTACTGATATTAGAAATTCTGATTGCATAAAAATCTCAGCATTAATATTTGTATATATTTGTAATCTTATGACCAATTCAGAAACACTGAAAATATACACATTATAGTCTTACTTGCTTCTCAGAAAACTGAAAGAACTTTCTATTTAAAGCCTTCAAATAGTTTGAAGTAGCCTTCAATTTTTTTCCCTATTGTCTAACAGACTGGTTCAAGATATCTGAAGCTGCAAACAGCATGTGTTACTGGGTTAAGCCTGGTAAACTGCTTTCCATTTTCACTGATAGCCCTGTTTATAATTTCTGGAAGAACAGGGAACCTATATCCTACTTAAAACTTCTCATGTGCTCAAATTTAGAGAGTTTCGTATCTTGCCACAGGGCAGGAAATAAGGTTTATTAATGGTTGTTTTAAGAAGTATTGTAAGGGTAGCAGAGGATGAAAAGAGAAAGGCCACTAGAGATTTTCTCTTATGTCAGCTTTTTTTTTTTTTTTTCTTATAAAGATCAAGGAGAAAGAAGTGTTATTGCTGTGCTACCAAAATACAGCTAATCTGATGGACAGAACACCTAGTAGAAAGTGGGAAATCTGGTTTGACTTTAAAGTTTGTCCTCTGATGTGGCATAACTTTGCTAGTTTCTCCAGTATGGTTTGTAAAATCATGACAATGAACCTTTCCTTCCTCCGAAGAAACAAAAAAAAGTCATTATTATTATTTTTACTGGTAAATAGCATCATTATTGTTAGAAAGAGGTACACCTCCACAAAGCTCAGCTACTGTTGTCCAGTATACATTCATAGCTACACTTTTCCTCCAAGACCTCTTATTAGCACACATTTTTTAATACCAAGTAATAATTTATCTCCTATTAGGAAATTTATAAATGTACAACTAATTTTTATGTGGAGTTTACATGGAAATTGACACAGTCATATTGCTTTTCAATATCTTGTTTTTCAGTCCAGTTTATGTCTGTTCTGTAATTTCTGTAAGAATATCTGCTGTGGTATTTTTAGCACCAAACATCTGTATAATTGCCAACAACAAAACAGCGTTGCCTTACTGAGGTAATGTCTACGAGGTAGCATGTTGGTCCAGTAATGATAACAGGTTCACTCCAGCTTATATTAATACTGTGAGGAGATGTAGCTAAAACAGTCACATTTTCTGGAGGACCATCTGGAGCTGTAGAAAAAAATATGTATGGGAATCATGACCAGAGAAGTTCACAAAAAACCCCCCAGTAATTTTAGTGGTCAGTAGAGATTATTTTTCAATTTTAAAATAAAAATTTTTACACATTTATCATTATATCCTGCCTAAATAATGATAACACTTTTTCTTTCTCATATATAAAGCATACAGTGTGATTTAGAAACACATCTTCCATTGCAATTACTACAGCTTTTCTAGAGTATGAACTGCCTACAACTTGATCTTAAAGTGAAATTATAGGGGGTTTTAAGTACAAGTTATTTATATGTATTGTAGATGACACAAGCAAAATATATACAACTATTTAGTCAAATAGAAAAGCATAATATATTTGTTTATGTCAAATGAATTATTCAAAGAATAAGAAACTGTGAAAACACAAGGTCTTCTGCAAGCTAGAAAAAATTTCCAGCAATGTTGGAAAGTATTAGTACAAATAATTTTATCCAGAAAAAAAGACATTTTAGGTTTCATTTCAACTTTTTCTTAACATGTTGAGAAACTCTGGAAAACATACACCAAAAAGTGGTAAGAATTGTAAGCAGGCAGTAAGCAGGTTCACATTAAGAAATGGGATTTTCCTACAATTTCCTTTTGTCAAGGTGATATGTGAATTGACATAGTTATTATTAATGAATAAGAAACTAATGAAATCATAACAACAACACAGCATTTCTCAGTAAGTAGTATTGCTTTTTCATAACAACTGTGGTAAATTTCAGCAAAATAAAATTTGGAGTAAGTGAAAAAGTGACAGCAGATTTGTAGATAATGCCAGGACTTGGCTCCATGGTGCCTTTTTTTGGGGGGGTCTACTACAAAAAAAGACAACTGTGATACATATCAGTGAACAGCCTGTTACAGAAGCCACAACAGATTCATACATATTCCCAGAATCTGGCTTCATGATGTCTTTTTTTTAATCTACCACAAAAATACAGCAATGATTAACACCTATCAGTGAGCAGACTGTTATAAAAAACCCTATAAAAGTTATCATATCTATCCTAATCAGAAGATGCAGTCTGTTTTCTCAAACATGATTAATGCATGAATATGTATTTTTTCACCATCAATCATTAGGTAAGAGGGCTTACTGAGGAAAACTGAAGTGTATCCAAGGCTACTTAGTTTTTTAGGTAGAAACAGATTAGGAAAATGAAAATTGAATGAGGTATGTAACTGTTGAAATTATATGTGAAAGATTAATAAGGAGAAATCATAAAATTTTGCACTATGAAGGTGAAAATTTTGCACCACAGTTGCAGAATAAAACAGGAAGAATTGGGAGTTGATAGGGTGCTATGAAGAGTTTAGGATGTTGGGTAGAAGAGGTAGATTGCTGTGCTGGGATTAGCAGGAATATACTAGACTTTTTAGGCAGGATCACATTAGGTCATTGGAAGCAGTCCCCAAAAAAACTGAATAGCATGGAACAACTGAATGAAAAGTGTTACTGAATGAACTATGAAAGCACATGGGGAGTGGTGAAAGAGGAGACAGATCAGAGAAGGCTGGCTGTCGAGTGGGGAGCTAGAATAGATAAAACAAGATACAAGAGCAAGCATGGTCCCTAAAAACTAAAATTAGCACAAATTAAGTTTATTGTACAGGTAATGTGTGTCAGACTTGTTGCTCAGTGTCTTTTAGTGTAAGATATGCTTTCAGTAATGATGGCAGTAGTATTACCTTTATCACCAGCTGAAATTTCTGAAAAACAGTACAAAATGACATATATAGCTTCTTGAGCCTTAGTTTCCAAATCAACCATTTCCAAATACAATTTTCCGTTACTTTTTTTATAGCATTAATGGAGCATTTAATCTCTTGGTATTTTTTTTCAGAAGCCACTTTACATTTCTTCATTAGACAAAGATGGTGTGATTTTAAAGCATAATCTAATCTACCAGTTTTCCAACATGAAGTAATTTATATGGATAATTTCCACATGCAGTTTATATTTGATGCCTTTTTAGAACTTTGCAAGAAAATTCTAATTGAGTATGCTGCATTTAAGATACTTATCTAAACTACATCTAAGCATTAATACCTGGTTTATTTTTATAATGAAAAGTACAATATCAGACATTAACTGAACGATACTGAAATTTAGAAATATTTTCTGAAATAACCTGTGTAATTAGAAACAAAACTAGAAAATGAAACGTGTCTATGTGTTCCACGTCTTACAATAAAAAAATCTTTCTAAAACCTGTGTTTGCTTCGGTGTGTTACTGCCACGTTCTGATTTAGGTTTGTTTGTGAAATGAATCTAGTCAATATGAGGCCATGATATCACTATACCCTTTCCCTTATAAATCACAGCAATTTACTCAGTAGAAATGACCTAGTCTTATTCTCTCATTCCCCCATAATCCAATCACTTCCTCTCATAAGCACTTTTCTCCTGGTTTTCACAATAATGCATTTTCTGTAACTAATAACCATCATTTCCTGATTATCATGCTTCTATCCTTGCACAGGAATGTGGGTCTTATGGAGGTCAGGGTCATCTTTCCCATCCATCTGTGTCCTGATGCTAAGGCAGCAGTTAAGTGTGTTAGCTTGAAGATAAGTCTGGATAGCCCATCATTTAGCATAATCCTCAAAAATAAGGCTGAATACTCCAGTCTTCTAACAGAAATTCATGCTTGCCAGTTTGGTTAATTCCAACTCTTTTATTCTTTTTCCCAACAAAAATTGTGTGAGGTTCAGGTATTTCATTTTATAATTACCTAGGTAACTTTTACCTGTATTTAAACATTTATACCTTATATTAGGCCATATTTATTTTCCAATGTTTAGTTCTGAGAGAATGAAAGGAACAAAGTAAAACAAGTTCTCCCAGAAAAAACCTGCCAGAAGAAGGGGCATACAACAAGAGATGAAATCTCATTGCTTTTCACCACACAGAAACATTTCTTTAAGTATACCAAGCAACTGGGTATCAGCATGGATTGTGAAAGAGGGTGCTGAAAAGAAAAGCATAACCCTCTGCCCCATGCATCTATGTCCTAGCCTTCATGGGACATTTGAACATCTGGGATTTTCCTTTGTGTCCAGTATATCCTGGCATTAGGAGATTTGGCAGTTTACCAAAAAGCATTGCATTGTGTAACTGCACAAGATCCAAAATGAGGTCAGTGATCTCACTGCCATTAATTTTCCACGTAACACTGACCCTTCAAAATGTTTTTTCTCTTAGAAAGCACAAGTTTGGCCAATCTTATAAATGTAAAAGTGAAACTTGGGATAAGTGCAGGTGTGAGGGAACAAAGTGTCCCTAGCTATGGAAAACATCTCTTGTCCTTTCCCTTATTGTGACACAACACTGATCTTCTGTACTACTAACTATACAAATCTAGGTTATGTTGAAAATATCTTGCAGTGTAGATTTGGCTCTTGGGTAATCCATCAGCTAAGTAATAACAGTTCCATCAAACTACTTTATGAGTCAGTAGGACAATTCCTGTGAGGATAATCTGCAAGACAGAAGGCTGAATAGTTTATCTGTGTGATATGAGAACTGGACTGTACTGAACAACCTGTAACATTTTCCACAGAGTAACACTATAACCACACAGCCATCATTTTATCTGAAACTTGTAAATGAGCTAAAGAATCTATAAAAGAATTCCTGTAGCCTTAAATTTACTTTCATAATGATCAACTGAAATAAATAGCTAAGGACTTCACCTTAGTCACTGGATATTCGGAATTATTAGGTATTTCTGCTTTAGCACAACAGTCAAATCCTCAGCACTTACAAAGAATATTTAGGGTTTTCTGTTATGTAATTTTTGCTGTTGTTGAAGTTTCATCTCTTTATATTCTGGGCAATGAGTCTAACAATTTTCAACTTAAATGCTGCAACTTCCTGAATATGTATATAATAACTGTAATATTTTCTTTAGGCTTGACAGAAGCACAAAGTTCTGAGGACCCAATTATTTCTGAAGAAAAATCATTTGACTATTATTTCACAACCAATGTAACTTTCCCTTTGGCAGAAGCAATGTCTTATAAAGGTATTTCTTGAAAATCAGAAACAGTGTCTAACTTCTGCCCTGAAATCTGCAAACACAACTCCCATTGATTTTATAGGCTAAGTACTCAGGCTATTTTATATAGCAAAGCACCCTTAAGCTCTAACAGACCATGTATATTGGCTGTGTACCAGCAGGCTAATCGAGAAGATGCTTGGCCCTGTCCATGAGGGAAAGGAGAGGGGGATCGACACCTGTTCTCTGGATACACTCTGCAAGGCTGCCCAGAATGCTGGGTCAATTTTTTGTGCATCCTGAATTTCTCTTCCCTGATACAGGCAGTACCCTTTGCAAAAGAAAGAGGGGAACTTAGGTTTTTAGTCTGTAAAACAGTATTTCTAAAGACTAGTCTTTCAAAAGTGTCAGGTCAGACCTGTTCTTGCTAAAAATCTGTCACTGCTCAGGAAGGCTCCCAGCACTGCTGAAGCACACCGGAGCTGCCAGCTGGCAATTCAGCTGTGACATGTCACCTTCTTCTTTTTTTCCTCCTCAGCTGACTGCCATTACCCCACAAAAAAGACCAGCACAGCCATAATATCTGGAATAGTGCCCATGTTTCTTTGACTTCATGTCAGTGTGTTTCATAGGCAGCTCATCTCTTGATGTGTCACTGATTTAGCTCACAGGAAATTTGTTGCTGCCCACTTCCCTCACCACAGACAGGCCAGCAGCCCCAGACACTTAGGCTGGAAGAACTGGTGGAACTTTCTAAACTACTATCCCACCACTGTTTGTTAAACCAGCTAATAGAGCACATAGGACATACTGCTGAGAACATCATCCCCTCAGTGGGACTGATAAGAAACTAGTTCTCACTTAAACCAGATTAACACTATCCAGAGAGGAAATAATGAAAAGCATCCTAACTTCATGTGATTATATGTGTTTTCATGATCTGCCTCACCATCCAGTTTAAATCCCTAACTTTTCTAAACTCAGCAACAATTTTTTGAAAATAAGTATTTGTATATGTCAGCACCTGAGATCTATCTATTCATCTAATAGTAAGAAATCTCCTCAGAGCTGCTGGCTTAAGAATTGCACAACTTCCGTTAGCTATTTTCTGCTCTACCTGGGGTTACATGGTTTTCTGATATTTTTTGTCACTTTTATTTAAAATATTACATTAATTTACAGGCATAGCATCCCCATAAGAACCACTGGACAAAGAAAGTTAAGTGCACATGAAAATGTCTCTGCAGCTGATTCCAGTAGTTCTCAGTCCAAAGGACTGATTCTGTGCTTTATGTGAAAAATGGGCTGTTGTGATATTCACTATCACAGTGTTCAAATCTCTTTGCCCTTTGGGGCTTAGCATTTCTCTATTGCAATTTGTCATCTGCAAATGAATATGACAATATTTCTTTACCTAATAGAAAAATTGTGATACATTTAAGGATAAATGGATGTATTACTGTACAAAGAGTGCACAGATACTATGTGTGGCATTATATAAAACCCTCCTGAATTCATACCACACGATTGTGAAATCATGAGTGGAACAAAATAAGTATGTGGACCATTGAAGAGTCCTCAGTACACAGCTGTTTAAGTCCTTGGTATCTCTATTATGATTACTTTGAAAGAGGAAAGGAGTGAAGGAGCTGTGATTTAGTCAGGCCACTTATGGTCATTCTCAGTTGCTCTACATGGGGCAGAGGCTGGATATCAGATGTGCTCTGACCTTGGCTGGCTGTGGACTGGGGGGGGTCATAGGTCCCCATGACAACTGCCTAAATAATTTATGTTTCACATCCCTTTCTCTCAAATATCTAGTGATGACTTATCTGTGACAACCAATTCTTCTCTTACTTGGAAACTGAAATTCTCAGCTGAAGCATGGCAGTTCTAATATGTGTCACGGCAGTCCTGTAGGTGTTACATGGCTATTCTGATTTTTAATCGCTTTAGGTAGATATGGTATTGGAAAGAAATCTTAATTTCTCTGAAACTACTGCTTAAATTCTATTGCCAGGAACATACACCGGAATTTCAGGAAACTGATATGATGTCACTGAAGACTTTTAGTCAAAGAATTAAGAAAAAGACTGCTTTTCACTGACACACCCCACATGTGAAGATGTATTGAAAGTGGCATATCAATCCAAAATAACCAAAATTTAGACTTACCAATTCTAGACTTAGACTAGGGCTGAGGAACAAAATTGTTGTTGGGTAAGCATTAAATATAGTAGAGCATACAACAGGCATTAAAATCTGAAGCAGTGTCAAGCATGCATAGCTACAACATGATTTATATAATGATATTTCATATGTGCAGAGTTGCAATAAATCCTTATTAACTTTACCACTATTGTAGGTCTATGAAGAAATAACATCTACTAAGTGTTCTTGCTTATTTAGGTGAATATCACGTTGTTATAGCATTATGACACATATCAAACATCCTTACTTACAGCCAGGAAGTGTTTGCGTAGAAATCCAAGGTGAAGAACTGCCATAACCAACATTCGTACTGGCAGCAACTGCAAATCTGTACCATCTGTATTTTTTCAGTCCATATACTGTCTCTTCTATATGGCCATCCACCACATTTTCATATAAATATTGATACCTCTCATATTCAATACATTCCTTAGTTTCCCAGTCACTGCAGTAGATGGACTGTAGCTGTGTGGTAATCTTGTAGTTTTGAAAGTAGCCAAGGATAGATTTCGGTGATCTCCAATTCAGGGTCACACTTGTTGATTGTACATTGGAAAAAACAATATCCCTGGGAGCACTAGGAACTACAAATTAAAACACTTGTAAGATATCTTCATTTGAATGAAAAGTGATTGCAACTATAACCCTTTTATTCACATTGAAAAAGTATTTTAATAAGCCTGTTTAAAGACCAAAATTCAATTTCCTATGGTTAATAAGGAGTAATTCCATTGGCCTAAATCCCACTGTACATATGTAGGTGGCATACATTTACTATAGCTTTTGAAATAAAGAAAAAACTTTTAGGTGCGGCATGCAGGGGCAGTCTTGAGAGGTGTGACATTGCTGTTGCTACATTTGGGGCTATGTCTCAACTGAGGGAGGGAATATCAAGCGAAGTTATTTTTGGCCAACCCATAGCATCTTCTACTGCTGTTGATAACTGGGATTCCTCACCTCTCACTTTTAAATACCCATTTGTCTCCTTCTCTCTTGGTAACACACAAAATCCTCAAGCAACACCTCAAGGTTTCATAAGCGTCCTGTTTCACCTTCTGTATGGAAAGTATCAATATATGTGATATATGTGTCTATCTTTTATATAAGTGCTTTACAAGGTGTTGAGCAAACAACAAATTAAAAGAATGCCAACAGGAAGAGCTAAATAATATGGCAATACAAAGAAAAAAAAAAAAAGAAACTTCCCATGAACTTTGCTTCCATGTATTTATATACATATGTATATGTGAGTATAAACAGGTTATATTCATGTGCATGGAGACAGACAAAGTGCATGTATGTACATGCATACACATACACGCACATTTATCCAGATCTATATATTAAGGCAACAGTGTACTCCCAGCTCTCACAGACTGGATGGAACATATGGTTTTGTGCTATATCACATAGTCATACAGTAAGCTAATATTATCCCTAAGACTCTGTAAGATAATACTAATACTCTCTATAGCAAAATCTGTGTGGAGAAATCAGCTCAGAAATCATTTTGTGCACTTAGCTTTAAAGAGTGCTTTAGAGTCTTTGGGGGAAGAAGTATTACTGGTAAAAGAAAAACACATGATATATCTTCAAACTGAAATTGAAGATGCCTCAAGGTTTACATAAAGAATAAAAGGATCCCAGACCAACGTTACTGGGTAAGACAGAGAAAACCTTCCATTTTCTTTCAGCCCTGTGGGAATATCTGATCTATGCTTTCATCTGTAACAATGTGTTTATAAAAAACCATTATAATATTAAAAGCTGAAGCCTCTCCACTAAGTATTTCTATTTAACAAGAAATGTGAATTCTGAGTCAAACCAAGATGTGACAATGAAAAGGTTGAGAAATTCAAATCCCTTCAAATGAGCCCAAAGCAGGTGGAGCCTTCAGGAGAGGAGCCAGGCACAGGAATTGTGGGTGCTTCCCCTGTCTTTCTGCTCAGCTCTCACACACACGTACGAAACAGCGCAGCATGCAATAACCCCATATGCTCCTACTCTGCTACACACTCACCAGACACAGAACAAGAACAAACTGTCCAAGAAAAAAATCTTCACTAGAGACAACTTTCATCACCATACTCCATGCTATCAAAATTAAAGTTGTTTTGTTGTATTGTTATAGGCATGAAGAGAAGGACAGGAAGTAGTAAATAAAACCAAAACAGGCAGTAACATTCCTGCTTGATCATGGTTTTGGAGGTGTAGTACTCAATTTGTCCAGTTTCAAAAAAATAAACACTACAATATTTTTGTAATAGCTGTAATACATCTACAAACTGTATTTGCTAATTTTGTAAATTACAGGAAAGGGCTTAGTTTTACTGTTAATTAATGGAAAATAAAAGCAGAAAAATGTTCGATAGTTGATATTAAAAATATATCTATTTTTCCTTAAAAAGTCCTCTACTCTGTTGTAATATAAGCTATTAGTATCTGTTAAGATACTGCAAAGAATATGTATCCTACACACTCAATTATGATGAGTGAAATAAAATTTAGCACCCAATCTCACTCTGAACTTGAATTAATGCATTTTTAAGACCCAATATTCCAGGAATTAAAAAATTAAGTAATTCCAAAGACATTACAATACATAAAAATTAAAATAATTTAAGAAAATTCATTTCTCCTCCTTCTTACTCAGAAGGGATTACTCTTTTTTTTATAAGGGATATGACTTCACCTTCTCAGGCACACAACTACAGAAACTCTTGCTGCGATAGGAGCAGCCAGCATTGGCAGATTTGGAATAAAAGTGTGAAAATATGCAATATGGAGATGATGGAAACAACTGGCTCTAATGCCTCTTAGTCTACCTTTACTAATTTCCATCTGCTGAAAAGTGATTATTAGACTATACTCCAGTTTAAATGAAAGACTGGATCAAATACTGAAACAAGGGCTTGGAATAAAGTAGATAGTAGATAGCAAGTGGTTGCTTGCTGGTGCCAAGAGGAAGGCGGAAATATATAACTTCACTTGCACAACTGTGCAGCTGGCAGAACCATGGCTGGCACAACTGCAGTCTGCACATAAAACAAGGCAGGTTAAAGACACTAGTGACAGGTAGAGAGAGCAGTGCCCATGTTCTAGCCAGCATGGTGGGCTTCCCTTCTCAAGGAGACTACTCTCTTCCCCCAGTTTCAACATGGATGATGCCATCAGAAAGAACTGAGAGTTATAGACTGAGTCCATACACATTACCCCACAAGGCTGAAGACAGTATCTGTGATTATCCTGGTGAGTATCACTACATGAAAACCACCATTTTGAAAGATACATTTCCAGGTACCATGATAACAGACAGATTAGACAAGTACTTCTTCTTTCACAGAAAAGCCTTTATTACTAGTTAATGTTGTCACTTTTCCAGTTTACTAAGACTCATATAAACAAAGTATTTCTAACCCACAAAAGGGTCAGCTGGCAGAAGACATACAAATATTTTCTCTGCCAGTGCCTAGACAGACCTTTAAATGGAATCAGAGCCTTAAACGTTAGTCAGTTTAAAATCTAGTCTCATTTTATCTCATTGCTTACAGAGACAAATCACATATAAACGTAATCTCTTTTAGAACAAATGAGAAGACGTGATCTGAATCTTGAGCAAATCAGGTTTGCTCTGAGGGCCACAGTGAGGAGCAGTGACACCCAGTGGCGCAGTGTCTCTTGCATTTGATGACTGTGTTCAGTGAGACAATTTCAAGACAACTATGCTATTGGATTACAGATACAAAGAGGATTACAATTACTCTAGCATGGAGAATCAGATTTCCATTCCTCAGGAATGACTAAAATTCCCCTAACTTTTTCTGTCCACAGATGGTACTGATTTGAACAAACCATTCCATGCTTCCTAGAGTAATCATGCAGCTTGTTTAAATTTTCTAAACATGACTCAACGATGATGAAGTGATCACTGTTCACACTAAAAACAATTAAGCCAAAAATTGCATCTTCTTCAATTATTTTTCCGATTAAATTGGAACTGTAACAAAGACATGCATCTGCTTTCATATACTGCTGCTTTGGTATGTGCCTAACAGGAACTTCATTATTATTCCTGGTTTCCAGAAAGGTGCACTTTAAGAAAGGGCATGAAAAAAGCTGTGTTTGTGGTGGTGTAGAACACTAATTGTCTAGGACTGTTCTCTGATTAGCTAGCTGGCATTCTAGTATTAACATCTCACATTTAAATTTCCCAGGAATCAAGGGTAGGAACCCTTAAGTCTCATCATCATGTGTTGACATGGCACTTAGGCATATGGTGTAGTTGGGACTGGTCAATGTTAGGTTAATAGTTGGACTAGATGATCTTCAAGGTCTTTTCCAACCTAGATGATTCTGTGATTCTGTGATCACATATCTGACAGTCTTTCCCTGTTTAATTATATTGCATTTGCTGTAATTCAGCTAGCTCTGGGAGTAGGGAGTTTTTCTAAGTCTGAAATTTTTGATGCAATGTACTCCATAATTTTTCATTTAATAGCTTTTAATTCAGCTTCTGAAAGCCAGCCAGGGAGCTTGTAGGGAGGCTGGCTGTGAAATGCTGGTGAATTCAATTTCAGGACTGGAGGAGGAATGAGGTATTTTCAGGTTCATCCACCATTGTTCACATGATGGCCAAACTCCAACAAAAAAGTGCCTGAAGCCAGATCCACATGGGATTTTAAGCTCCTAAAGCCTATTTACGTGCCTGAACTCCCACTGAAGTTGACAGGAAGCTAAGCACCTAAATAGAAGTTACTTTCACAGATCTTGGCCCCAGTTCCCTATGCTTGTCTGGCTGCAATGCTAATCAGCCCTTCCAAAGCTGATGGACTGCTCTCACATTAAGTTTTTATTTGAGAACCTAAATGAAAGGAAATTCCTGGTAGAAAAAGAACCAGGACTGTGCAAGGATTCAGACCAAGTTGAACTGGGCCAGTGAAACTGGTTTAAACCAACAGAAATACTTGGTAGAAAAAAATCTTATACGCAATGCAAAGATAACCTAAGGGCAGCAGAGAACACAAGCAAAAAAATCTACTGAGAAAAGAGAAGTTACAGCTTTCTGTAAAGACCTCTGTGGAAAGCAATGACTACAGCTGCACGGGCGGGAACAGAAGACGGTAATATGATACAGCATAGTTCCTAACAAAGTTAATAAAAAAAAGTCTGCCTACAGAACAGCTGCTTGTAGCTGGAGTTTGGATTAAAGGACAGCGACAGCCTAGAAGTCTGTTGGGTAGTATTAAGATCATCAATAGGAGGAAAGTGAGGAACAAAGTAGAAGAGATAGCAGCGGGTACACAACAAAAAGTCTTCAGAAAATGGAGCTATCTTAAAAGTAATATTCTGTATTGAGTATTTATTAATTTCTGAAAGCTTAGTTACCAAAGGAGGAGGTTAAACTGATAAACCTGATCATGACAAACAGTACCCTAGTAGAGACTGCTAACTTCAGGGGGACTCGTCATCATATAAAGTCCTGCTCAGTATGAATAAGGACATCAAAAATAGGTCCCAAATGATTTTACTAGCATAAAAATGTAAAAAACTGTAGACTTTTTCCCATGACTTGGGACTGATACTA